TTATATAATGTGTTCTGCTTAAGATGATGTAAGGGGGTAGACTGTACATTGTTTCACTGCCAAATCAAACTTAGCCTGTAACACAATGAACAATTTCAGGTTTGAGGGCGTTCTTGGGTTTTTATTTTTAAATTATGTATCTACTTCTGTATCACTCTCTTTAATCAAGTAAAGTTATTTAAGAAATAATATATCCCAAACTGTGATTTTATTGCTCATTAACATCACTGTTTGGAGTTCGGATGCGAGGAATTATATCACGAGGGCGTAGCCCGAGTGATATAATGATGCGCATCTGAACGACAAACAGTAATGTTATCAAGCAATAAAATCACCGATTTGGATATATTATTTTGATTCTAACACGACATTAACACGTACCTGATATTTAGCTAAATTGCGCCTGATTTGTTTCCGGTCTTATTGTCAGCGCGTCACATTTTTAGTAGTTACGTCACATGTATAATGATAACGTAACACGTCTTAATTTAGAACGTCAAACAGTGATTTTATAGCATAATAACACATACTTTCAGTTCTTCTTTGTTCAATAGGGAAAAATGCGGTCGTGTTAGAAATATAAACTTTACACTATCAACTCAAACAATACAATAACAAAATAGTGTCAACATGATTGTGCAAATCACACTCTTCACATACAATATCTTTCTGTCTGATGTGATATGTGCAGAAAAAATTTAAAATATGCACACTTATATATTATAATGACCTTTTCAGTTCTTGTATTCTGATAATTTTTTACATCACACAGCTCCATTGAATTTTCGAGAGTGCAATTGTCAAAAACTCTTTGACTTATGTGGCAGAAACAGCTATAAGTTGATAAAAATGTTTCATTTTAGATCTAAAAGCCATTAATTTTACCTATCAAATTTAATGAAATTAAAAATGTAATGACTATCATTTAATGAAATTAAAAATGTAATGACTATCAACTGCTTTTGGTATAGTATCAGTGTCAATGAGAAAATTCAAACATTTATCCATTCTAATTGTTTAGTGCTAATCTAAGGTGTGCACATGGTGCTTTTCAGGTGTGCGCCTTTTCATATCTTAATGAGTAAGTGGTTGCAAGTGTTTAAAGCACATCCAACTTTACAAAAATGATTCTGAATTATATCATGTGCTAACAATACTTTGTTCTATGAATCCCTGATAGTGGGTTGTTACACTGCCCTTCTCTAAAACATGTTTGACAACCTCTTGTTATTTGGTAAAAATTTAGAGGTAAAATGACTTTGATATATAAAATGAAAGATATGCACAGTTTTCAGCAAAACATGTCATAAAATTTGCACAATTTTCACGTTCAAAATATACTCTAAACAGTTGAGAAAATAAATACAAAATATGTAATAAAAGCATGGTCTAACAGCGGCTTTCATTTTTGAAAATATTTGATATTTATAAATGATTATATCATCAGAAAAGAGGACCACTTACATTAAATTCATTAAGATTTAGCGCATAACAGTAATATCGGAATCATAGCATTTAAGCACCAATGGTGGTAATGGTGTGCATTGAGAAAATAAAATGTGTCTTCTTTGTACAAAATAATGTGAGTTATAGAAAATGTACATTAATCCCTGTTTTCAAACTTTGATGATATCATAATATATACCTGGATTGTCAGTCATTGTTCATGACTACTGTTCATAACACTATATGAATCAAAATTGTTTGCATTTTGTTTAGAATTCAAATTTAGTGGACAGATAATCTGCAAAAGATCTTAAGTAAATCTGAATCTCAAACAAATTGAAAAAGCAGAATTATAGAAGTGTACTTTCATCTAAAGTCAGCTAGCATGATATATTAATAGAAAAATATTAAAGGATTTAGTCTTTGTAAAGTTCTTCTACAGACTTGCAAAATATTTTAAACAATGTTTAAATTAACAAAACAATTTTGTTCAAATTTATATCAGAATATTTAACATAAAACAGGTCTAACTCAAATATTTGTACCACTTTTACCAAATTGCAAGAGGGAATTTGAGTCTAACTCAAGTTAGTCTTGTATTGCGCTCAGAATTTCAGCGCAATACAGGTCTAACTCTAAAATACACAATTTGTAACACTTTAATAAAAAATTATATAAATGGCATTATTTCTTATTATAATTAATGTTAACATAGCAAAAAAATATTTTCTAATATAAGTATTTTTGAATAAAATCAGTTTTTTGTCTCTCCTGAACATTTTCAAAAATAGCAGTTAGACCAGTATTGCGCTGAGCCATCGATCTGTTCATGTGACCATTGTAGACCAAGATCAGCTGACACATCTGTTCATGTGACCATTGCAGACCAAGATCAGCTGACACATCAACACCCATCTGTTCATGTGACCATTGCAGACCAAGATCAGCTGACACATCTGTTCATGTGACTATTGCAGACCAAGATCAGCTGACAAATCTGTTCATGTGACCATTGCAGACCAAGATCAGCTGACACATCTGTTCATGTGACCATTGCAGACCAAGATCAGCTGACACATCAACACCCATCTGTTCATGTGACCATTGCAGACCAAGATCAGCTGACACATCAACACCCATCTGTTCATGTGACCATTGCAGACCAAGATCAGCTGACAAATCTGTTCATGTGACCATTGTAGACCAAGATCAGCTTACACATCTGTTCATGTGACCAGTGCAGACCAAGATCAGCTGACACATCAACACCCATCTGTTCATGTGACCATTGCAGACCAAGATCAGCTGACACATCTGTCCATGTGACCATTGCAGACCAAGATCAGCTGACACATCTGTTCATGTGACCATTGCAGACCAAGATCAGCTGACACATCTGTTCATGTGACCAGTGCAGACCAAGATCAGCTGACACATCTGTTCATGTGACCATTGCAGACCAAGATCAGCTGACCCATCAACACACATCTGTTCATGTGACCATTGCAGACCAAGATCAGCTGACACATCTGTCCATGTGACCATTGCAGACCAAGATCAGCTTACACATCTGTTCATGTGACCATTGCAGACCAAGATCAGCTGACACATCTGTCCATGTGACCATTGCAGACCAAGATCAGCTGACACATCTGTCCATGTGACCATTGCAGACCAAGATCAGCTGACACATCTGTTCATGTGACCATTGCAGACCAAGATCAGCTGACACATCTGTTTATGTGACCATTGCAGACCAAGATCAGCTGACAAATCTTTTCATGTGACCATTGCAGACAAAGATCAGCTGACACATCAACACCCATCTGTTCATGTGACCATTGCAGACCAAGATCAGCTGACACATCAACACCCATCTGTTCATGTGACTATTGCAGACCAAGATCAGCTGACACATCTGTTCATGTGACCATTGCAGACCAAGATCAGCTGACACATCTGTTCATGTGACCATTGTAGAACAAGATCAGCTGACAAATCTTTTCATGTGACTATTGCAGACCAAGATCAGCTGACACATCAACACACATCTGTTCATGTGACTATTGCAGACCAAGATCAGCTGACACATCTGTTCATGTGACCATTGCAGACCAAGATCAGCTGACACATCAACACCCATCTGTTCATGTGACTATTGCAGACCAAGATCAGCTGACACATCTGTTCATGTGACTATTGCAGACCAAGATCAGCTGACACATCAACACACATCTGTTCATGTGACTATTGCAGACCAAGATCAGCTGACAAATCTGTTCATGTGACTATTGCAGACCAAGATCAGCTGACACATCAACACCCATCTGTTCATGTGACCATTGTAGACCAAGATCAGCTGACACATCTGTTCATGTGACCATTGCAGACCAAGATCAGCTGACACATCTGTTCATGTGACCATTGCAGACCAAGATCAGCTGACACATCTGTTCATGTGACCATTGCAGACAAAGATCAGCTGACACATCAACACCCATCTGTTCATGTGACTATTGCAGACCAAGATCAGCTGACACATCTGTTCATGTGACCATTGCAGACAAAGATCAGCTGACACATCTGTCCATGTGACCATTGCAGACAAAGATCAGCTGACACATCAACACCCATCTGTTCATGTGACCATTGCAGACCAAGATCAGCTGACACATCTGTTCATGTGACCATTGCAGACCAAGATCAGCTGACACATCTGTTCATGTGACCATTGCAGACCAAGATCAGCTGACACATCTGTTCATGTGACCATTGCAGACCAAGATCAGCTGACACATCTGTTCATGTGACCATTGCAGACCAAGATCAGCTGACACATCTGTTCATGTGACCATTGCAGACCAAGATCAGCTGACACATCTGTTCATGTGACCATTGCAGACCAAGATCAGCTGACACATCAACACCCATCTGTTCATGTGACCATTGCAGACCAAGATCAGCTGACACATCTGTTCATGTGACCATTGCAGACAAAGATCAGCTGACACATCAACACCCATCTGTTCATGTGACTATTGCAGACCAAGATCAGCTGACACATCAACACACATCTGCCCATGTGACCAGTGCTCAAGGAAAAAACGACTTGCCCTTGACAGGGTTTGAACCCAACCGGCTAGCAATCATTTGATTACTAGTCTGACGCATTAACCACTCGGCCATGCGGCCACGAAATTTTCCCTTAATATGATGAATGGTTTTGTCCAGAAAGATGTTATCTGTAACTCAGCAATGCGTTTTTTTTTTCATGCTAATCCCTCTGTACAAACACACTTTTACCATAATTATAGCTTCACAGTGCACAATTGGTCACAATAGATAAGTCAATTTGTGAAGCTGTAACAGTAAGAGAACTTGTTTGTGAATATAAATGTTTGATAATTATCATATAAACTTAACAGAACAGAATGTAGAAATTTGTTAATATTTAACCCCACCAATTAGTTTGAAATGTTAATTTGCAGAATTTTGGCCTTGTGAAAATATTATATTTTATGGTACATCAATTTTTAAATTTTCTTTTTTTTCAGTTGGATGAGGATTATGAAAGCTGGTTAAGTAAACCATCGCTGTACATGACATACGATCGACATCATGAAGATTTACGTCACTCAGCTAAATGTAGGTCATCGGTCGGTTCCCCGCGTAAAGTTTTTCAATGGGAAAAATACAGCAGTCACAAAACTGGAGAATCTGTTGACTCTGGAATGTTGGCCTATAAGAAAAGTAAGTATCAAATACCTTCATGAGAACTAGATGAGCGCGAGTGGGCTTACTACGGAATTGATAGATTCTTACTTTGACCTTTTATTTGAATAACAAAAGATTTAAGCACAAACATTGACATGCGCTCTTTTGTTAACAAATAGGTTGAGGTGAAATTGTTGTTGTAATCCACTGATCTGCTAATAAGAATTAGATAGGTCAGGGGGGATCTATACATTAAGAATATTTTGGGTATTTCTCAGTAAAAGGCCTATTATACCCAATAAATGCATTTATTTTTATTTCTCAACAAAAAACAACAAAAAAAACCTTCTTCTCCTGTTTCTTTTTGGCATTTAGTACAGTTATAGTGATTTAGTAAATTCCATGGAAGCCAAAAAAATATTAATATAATATTTACATTTTGCTTTCTTTTATGACAAATTATTACACAGACGCATCCATTTAAGATAAAGAGAATGCAGGGGTTAACGTCATGGTAAAGAACTGATGATCTTAAGAAACAATACTGTTGTTCATCATCAAATATCGGAAATGTTGTTGTTGTAGATTTTTTTAAGAGCCAAGAATTGCGTCTGCTTCGTCTAGAAACGTGATTATGTTATTTTCTCAGGGACGTAATGATCTTTTTATCCTAGCAAGCTACATTAGACTGGTTTACAATTTTAAGATCACTAATCATGGGATAGTGATAGACTGGGAACTGATTTTCTTGAATGAATGAATAATAGATTTCAGACATAATTCAAGGACATTCCCAAAGGTGCTGAAAGAGAATTTCCAAAAGACAAAAAAAGACTACAACAAAAAAAACAATTACCATTATTATAAGGAAAATGGTATTGCACTTTTGTTTAAGGCAACTTCTTGTCCTATATTTGAAAATAGTTTATGTTGTCTACATGTACTGAAATATATATTAAGTTCAAGAAAAAAGGTCTAAAATATGAGTACTGAAATTGAGAACTGGAGTATTAACGAAAAAGGTGTTTGAAAAAAACAAAATGTGCTGAAAAACAAGTTCCAGCCTATAATTATCAATCTTTAAATGTTTCTGACTGCCAGGCTAGCCTATAATCTGTGCTGTCTGTACAAGTTTATGATATCAACTATGACTGCCAGGCTAGCCTATAATCTGTGCAGTCTGTACAAGTTTATAATGTCAACTATAACTGCCAGGCTAGCCTTTAATCTGTGCAGTCTGTACAAGTTTATGATGTCAACTATGAATGCCAGGCTAGCCTTTAATCTGTGCAGTCTGTACAAGTTTATAATGTCAACTATGACTGCCAGGCTAGCCTTTAATCTGTTTGCTGTCTGTACAAGTTTATGATGTCAACTATAACCTGCCAGGTTAGCCTATAATCTGTGCTGTCTGTACAAGTTTATGATGTCAGCTATAACTGCCAGGCTAGCCTATAATCTGTGCAGTCTGTACAAGTTTATGATGTCAACTACAACTGTCAGGCTAGCCTATAATCTGTTCAGTCTGTACAAGTTTATGATGTCAACTATAACTGCCAGGCTAGCCTATAATCTGTGCAGTCTGTACAAGTTTATGATGTCAACTATAACTGCCAGGCTAGCCTATAATCTGTGCTGTATGTACAAGTTTATAATGTCAACTATGACTGCCAGGAAAGCCTATAATCTGTGCTGTCTGTACAAGTTTATGATGTCAACTATAACTGCCAGGCTAGCCTTTAATCTGTGCAGTCTGTACAAGTTTATGATGTCAACTATAATAACTGCCAGGCTAGCCTTAATCTGTGCAGTCTGTACAAGTTTATGATGTCAACTATGAATGCCAGGCTAGCCTATAATCTGTGCTGTCTGTACAAGTTTATGATGTCAGCTATGACTGCCAGGCTAGTCTATAATCTGTGCTGAATGTACAAGTTTTTGATGTCAACTATGACTGCCAGGCTAGCCTATAATCTGTGCTGTCTGTACAAGTTTATGATATCAACTATGACTGCCAGGCTAGCCTATAATCTGTGCAGTCTGTACAAGTTTATAATGTCAACTATAACTGCCAGGCTAGCCTTTAATCTGTGCAGTCTGTACAAGTTTATGATGTCAACTATGAATGCCAGGCTAGCCTTTAATCTGTGCAGTCTGTACAAGTTTATATAATGTCAACTATGACTGCCAGGCTAGCCTTTAATCTGTGCTGTCTGTACAAGTTTATGATGTCAACTATAACTGCCAGGCTAGCCTATAATCTGTGCTGTCTGTACAAGTTTATGATGTCAACTATACTTGCCAGGCTAGCCTATAATCTGTGCAGTCTGTACAAGTTTATGATGTCAACTATAACTGCCAGGCTAGCCTATAATCTGTGCTGTCTGTACAAGTTTATGATGTCAACTATTACTGCCAGGCTAGCCTTTATTCTGTGCAGTCTGTACAAGTTTATGATGTCAACTATAACTGCCAGGCTAGCCAAAAATCTGTGCTGTCTGTAAAAGTTTATGATGTCAACTATGACTGCCAGGCTAGCCTATAATCTGTGCTGAATGTACAAGTTTTATGATGTCAACTATGACTGCCAGGCTAGCCTATAATCTGTGCAGTCTGTACAAGTTTATGATGTCAACTATAACTGCCAGGCTAGCCTATAATCTTTGCTGTCTGTACAAGTTTATGATGTCAACTATTACTGCCAGGCTAGCCTTTATTCTGTGCAGTCTGTACAAGTTTATGATGTCAACTATAACTGCCAGGCTAGCCAAAATCTGTGCTGTCTGTAAAAGTTTATGATGTCAACTATGACTGCCAGGCTAGCCTATAATCTGTGCTGACTGTACAAGTTTATCATGTCAACTATAACTGCCAGGCTAGCCTATAATGTGTGCAGTCTGTACAAGTTTATGATGTCAACTATAAGTGCTAGGCTAGCCTATAATCTGTTCAGTCTGTACAAGTTTATGATGTCAGCTATGACTGCCAGGCTAGCCTATAATCTGTGCTGACTGTACAAGTTTATGATGTCAACTGTGACTAAGGTTTAGGGTTTTCTTGCCAGGCTAGCCTATTATCTGGTCTGACGCCATTTTTCGATAGACTGGCTGCCCAATTTTCACTTGTACTTTAAAATTTCTTTATGTACTAATGAACAAGTTGTTATTTGGACTTCTTTGTATTGTAAGTACAATATTATTTGGTCTCAATTCACAACAGATGAAGTGGACAAAAATAGTAACAACAGGTCAAGGTCCTTGCCACCACTAATTGAAGGTATTACTTCCCATGCTTACTATATAACATCCCTTAATTCAGATTTATCTCACCTTGAATATGTGACACCTAAACCCTTAGAATAAACTGTACTGCATTGATTTTGATGTAGGTCTAGACCAATTACATACGTGCAAAATTTCAGATCATTTGCTCACTCCATTCTTCCAGAATAATTATTTTATCTGTGAAAGATACAAAGTTCAGTTCACTTGAATCGGGCTACAAATAGAAGTCAACATAAAATTTTCAATTTATTTTTGAGAATATCTTAATTATTATCTTCTGCATTTCTAGTTCTTTATTTGCACTATTAGTTGATTGATGCAAGAAATTTAAAGTTTATGTATTTAGGCATTTTGACATTAGTGGAGTTCCTTTAAATACCCCTTTTTCGGGTTTTAACCCTTTACTGCATGAATATATTGTGAAAAATGGCCGTTTTCATTGAAAAGCCTCCTGTTACAAGTTCAAACTGCTATGAAATTATGAAAAATGCTTTATTACTGTTTAAACTTGGCACAAATGTTGACTGGACCATAGCCTTTGTAACAGCATGCTCAATCTTTTATTTCCTGCTACCATGGCAACGGTGGGACATCTCAAAATTGCCAAAAATTTTGCTTTGCTTTTTTTTTTCAATCAAAACTGATTTCAAAGTGTTGCAACTTCTCAATGGATTGAGATGGAGTAAAAGGCTTTTCAGCATTGGTTGCATGTTTTACTTACTCGACCTGAGGCCATTTTCAGTCTGTCACATGTCCAAAATTTTCTTGGCGATAAGGGGGGCTGCTGCTCCCCTTCAAACCCTTGAAAAAGAAGGGGGCACATCCCCCTTCTGGCAACCACTTGATGTACATTTTTAGTAGGGGGCGGCGTCGAAAAAGTGATCACTTTTTTTATCAACATTTCTCGAAACAAAAACATGTGTTTGGGGCCCAAACAGGACATTTTTTCACTATTTGAGGCCTAAAAAAAGTGCGTTGTTTTGCGTATATATGAGGTAAAGGGTTAAGCATCTAAATTTAACATTTAAGGTAACTAATACACATTTACTAAGGTGAGATAAATTTTATCAGGAATATTATGTGACTATATATAAACCAGTAGTGGACATTATAGTGCCAAGGAGTATAAGATCCGCATCACAACAAAACCAACATAATGGGTTTGCTACCAGCATGGATCCAGACCAGTCTGCGCATCAGCGCTATCAGTTTCTTCACTTGTTATAAGGTCTGTAAGCGAACAGCATGGATCCTGAGCAGACTTTGTGGATGCGCAGGATGGTCTGGATGTTTGCTGATCGCAAACACATTATGTTGGTTTTGTCATGGCGTGGCTCAATTATTTTATTTATAACAACTGGGAAAAGGGTTTTGTTTGGTCAGTTAGATCTTAGTGATATAATCTGCAAGATTTATAGGTGTAAATGTAGTCTTAGTGAATTATATATTTGTTTCTATTGTTACTACCTTTGTGTAAGGGGCTATAGGAATTGCCTATGTCTTTGAATTATATATTTGTTTCTATCATTACCTTATTTGTGGGAGTGGCTATAGGAATGGTCTATGTCTTTCTGTCCAACTGTCTGTCTATCTGTAACATTGTTTGTCAGTTTCAAAACTTTTTAAAATGCTGAAATGTTTTGAAATAATTTTGCATTTTGAGAGGATGTGAAGAGCATAACAAGGTTGTTTCTTTCTAAATTGGGTTTACGTTGTACCAACGCAGTATAGGTCATTTGGGGAGTTTCCAGCTTTACTGGGGGAGGAAGACCTCATGTCTCCTTTGTACATTATTTCAGGCACAAGCAAGCCCAAGAGTAGAACCACCAAAGTTCTTTTAAGCTAGCTTATGATAGCTTGATCACATTAAATATCTGAAGATTCTAGTGTGACTTGAACCTACAGCAAGTAAGGTTGCTACCCCAAGGTCACATTTTAATGTCAAATATAAAAAAGTCCATAACTTATAAACTGCTGACAAATATTTAAATAACTCAGCATTAATGATCACCACTTTGTGAAAAGTGTATACCAACCAGGTCCACACCACCAATGTCAAGGTCAAAATTTAATATAAAGGTCAAATGTTAAAAGTCCACATTTTGTGTCTGTTACATTACTAATTGACTATTTGCGGCTCAACATACACATGGTGAGATATTTGACCAGGTTGTGCCTGTTCTCCGCCACGCCTCCTCTGTGGTCAATTTTTGTTTCAAACAACATCTCCTCCTAAACCATTGGGCCAATCTTGTTAAAACTAAGCAGGATTGTTCCTGGCATGAAGCTTTTTCAAATTTTTTCAAATAATTTCATTGAGGAACTCTGGTGGCCATGGCAGCCAAATGAAATAACTTAAAAAATCTTCTTCTCCAAAATTCCAAGTGCTAGAGCTTAGATATTTAATATGTAACATTGCCTTGTATGCAGTAGGCTATATCAATTTTATTCAAATTATTGCACTGGGGTAAAAAATGACCCAAGGCTGTGGGGCATGAGTTAATACCATGACCCATAACCTACTTCTTTTTTTTTAAGCTACAGCCATGAAATTTGGACTAGATGCACACTTGCAGATGTAAAATTGAACTTATATATCAGTTGACCTAGATTTTAATCCAGTGACCTACTTTTAATATTTAACAGCTATGAAACATGCAGTTTCAGATGAAGAATTGAACTTTGATCTTTATTTTGACCCAATGACCTACTTTTTTGTTTTAAGAGCTTCAACATTGAAATTTGTACAACAACCACAGGTTCAGATGTAGATTTGAATTCTGATATCAGCTGACCTAGATTTTGACCCTGTGACCCAGATATTTGTATTGATAGCTAAGCTATGAAATTTAGTCTGTATCCATGGTTTCAGAAGCAGATTTGAACTTTGATATAAGTAATTGTTTTAATATACATTCTTACACAGTGATGAATTATAATTTTTAGCTCACCTAAGCATTATATGTCATATGCAAACAGTGTTACTTAGGTGAGCATTATAGCCTACATTTACTTTCCAATGGATTTATATGATGAAATTTATGTACATTTTTAGGATTGGAAGCATCTCGCAGTTTTCCATTAAATAATTTTTGTGGACGAGACCTTAGACATAGCAAACAGTTGGCGATGTCTCATTCCTTACATTCCATTGAAAGTGACAGGTAAAATTTGCTTTATTTTACTATTTATATATAATTGTATCATAGTTTGGGGACCATGTGTCTGAGTTTAATCGTATACATATACATGCACAGTGCGTTAACTGGAGTGCAGGTATCAGTTACCCGCACTCCAGAGCATGCCCATTGATAGGCTCGTTTTTGCTGGGGTTTTTACTTATTGTGACGGCAGAGAAAGGGAAAGCTACAGAAAAATCATATTCAGATGTTTGTTTATTGGTTACTTTTTGCCGGGGTGTCATATTGTGACAACAGGGAACGTGTTTTTATGTTTGACTATGATACAAAAGAGAAAGAACAGCAAAACACCGGCAATCTTGATTAATACTTGGTTCTTTATTTTACTATTTATATTTGAATAACATGTATATTTGAAGACACATTATTCCACAGAAATGAATAATTGAGCCTTGTCATGACAAAACCAACATAATGGGTTTGCGACCAGCATGAATCCAGACCAGCCTGCGCATTCACGCAGTCTGATCAGGATCTATGCTGTTCGCTATCGGTTTCTCTACTTGTAATAGGGTTGGTAAGCGAACAGCATGGATCCTGATCAGACTGCGTGGAAGCGCAGGCTGGTCTGGATCCATGCTGGTCGCAAACCCATTATGTTGGTTTTGTCGTGACGCGGCTCATATGTTTTTTTCTTTCTGTAGAAAGGGCAAACATATGTTTAATAATGATGAAATAAGGTGATTAGAATAATAATAATAATAAAGACTTTATCAGTCCCCTACTGGTTTAACCGGAGGGGACTTTAGGTTTACCCTCCGTCCGTCTGTCTGTCTGTCCTTTCGTCTGTCCGTCCGTCAGTCCGTTCGTCCACAAAACTGGATCCCGCGATAACGCAAAAAGTACTAAAAATATTTTTATGAAACTTGATATATGGATAGATGGCAGTATGGACATTATGCACGTCTTTTTCTTTTGTTCCTATGTTGAAAGTTCTGGTTGCTATGGCAACAAATAGTCTGAAAATATGGCAAATTTAACACATAACTGGATCCAGTGATAACTCAAAAAGTACTGAAAATATTTTAATGAAACTTGAAATATGGGTAGATGGCAGTCTGGAGATTATGCACATCTTTTTTTTCTTCCTATGTTGAAAATTCTGGTTGCTATGGCAACAAATAGCCTGAATTTCAAGATTTCTGATTTAAATTTTTCAGCTTTTTCACTATAAGTTCTTTATTTCTTAAGGTGTTTACTTCAAACTTTAAATATAAGTTTCTTGTCATCAACCACATCATATGTGACAAGGTTTACAACTCTAGCACAAAAATTATCAGTATTACCTCCCTTGAACTTAGAATTTTTATGAAAAAAAAATGTTTTTTTTTTTTTAAATAACTTCTTTATTTCCTAATGTATCTACTTCAAACTTCATATTTATGTTTCTTATTATCACTCAACATTTTTGAGAAGGTTAAATACTCTAGCAAGACTATTTTCAGAATTATGTCCCCCTTGAACTTAGATTTTTTCGAGAAATTGGTATTTTTTACTCCAACTTCTTCATTCCTTATAGGATTTACTTTAAAATCCCACATCGTAATAATATGACAAGGTTGTATAAACATAATTTCCTTACTAGGCAGGGAAACTTAACACATTACTGTGATATAGACAAACTTAGAACTCAAAAGATTTAAGTTCATTCATGTCATTCATTCACTGGTAAAATTGAATGGCCAATGGCCCATCAGAATGTTGCTGGGGTTCTAACCGGTAGGGGACTTATGGATTGCTTGCAATACTATGATAATTGCTTGTTTAAAGAGGCAGCATAGTTAGGCAAGCCTAGTGTTTCCTATGATGTACATATATACAGTTACAAACAAAAATATTTATATAAACAATGAAAACTTGATGTATACAAGTTATACAACATAGAAAAGTAGAGAAAAATGCAATAAGAAAATGAATATAAACATTTGAAAGTATGAAATTATATATTTTATGAGACATACATGTATATATGTAATTTTAGAATAATAGCTAGATTATTTCATGCTTCCCAGAGAACCACCATTTTAGATGATATGTACATGATGCTTCTCACCTAAAGAGGTTAAGTTAAGGTGTCTGCCACTTAGCCTATGGATTATAAGTTAGAGCCTTTAACTTAAGTTAGAAATTATAAGTTGAAGACTTATTCAAGTTAGAGATTGTAAGTTTTAGTCTTACTTTAGTTAGGGATTATGAGTTTGAGCCTTACTTCAGTTAGGGATTATAAGTTTGAGCCTTACCTGGAGTTAGGGGATTTTAAGTTTGAGCCTTACTGAAGTTAGAAATGATATCAAATGATATTAGTGACTCAGGTTATATTGCAAACAACCATAAATTATAAATGGCCATATAACCTGTCAGGAATATTTAGAACAAGTTTATAAACCAGCAAACTTCCTTTTATAAAGAATAAAATGAGATTTCTTCATAAATTGACAGCAGCCGTTTATATAACGATATTTAAATGTCACGATTATCCAATGAAAAGGGACATTACAAACATGCAATACTATAGTTCATCACATGCCTGTGGTCACTTATACATGTATATAGATATATGAGCCGTGTCACAACAAAACAAACATAATGTGTTTGCGACCAGCATGGATCCAGATCAGCCTGCGCATCCATGCAGTCTGATCAGGATCAACGCTGTTCGCTATCAGTTTCTCTACTTGTAAAAGGGTTGGTAAGAGCAGGCTGGTCTGGATCCATGCTGGTTGCAAACGCACTATGTTGGTTTTGTTGTGACGCAGCTCATATACATGTATATTTTTATCTTATATAATAAACTTTTTTTATTTAACAGTGATGATGTGTTTGGCCGTGAGATTGAATTCCATCGTCAAAAGGGGCGGGTTTTAAGTCGTAATTGGCAGAAACTTCAGCACGCAGTATTAGGTCACGTGATTCAGTCTCGTAGATATCCCTCTGCCACATCTAGTGCGGACAGACGCAGTGCTAGGTAACATTTTGTTTTTGTTACAATTTTTTAAGGAATGAGGAGAGATGTTTTAGGGAAGGCATGAGGAGAGCGGTTTTTAAGGGAAGGTGTGATGAGAGTGGTTATAGGAAAGGGGTGATGAGAGTGGTTTTAGGGAAGGGGATGAGGACAGTGGTTTTTAGGGAAGGGCCCCCGTTATAGATGTGGTTGAAGGGAAGGGGTTATAGATGTGGTTGAAGGGAAGGGGTTATAGATGTGGTTGGAGGGAAGGGGTTATAGATGTGGTTGTAGGGAAGGGGTTACAGATGTGGTGGTTAGGAAGGGGTTACAGATGTGGTGGTAGGGAAGGGGTTATAGATGTGGTTGAAGGGAAGGGGTTATAGATGTGGTTGCAGGGAAGGGGTTACAGATGTGGTGGTAGGGAAGGGGTTATAGATGTGGTTGTGGGGAAGGGTTATAGATGTGGTTGTAGGGAAGGGTTACAGATGTGGTGGTAGGGAAGGGTTACAGATGTGGTTGAAGGGAAGGGGTTCAGATGTGGTGGTGGGAAGGGGTTACAGATGTGGTGTAGGGAAGGGGTTATAGATGTGGTTGTGGGGAAGGGGTTATAGATGTGGTTGTAGGGAAGGGGTTACAGATGTGGTGGTAGGGAAGGGGTTACAGATGTGGTTGAAGGGAAGGGGTTACAGATGTGGTGGTAGGGAAGGGGTTATAGATGTGGTTGTAGAGAAGGGGTTACAGATGTGGTTGCAGGGAAGTGGTTATAGATGTGGTTGTAGGGAAGTGGTTATAGATGTGGTTATAGGGAAGGGGTTACAGATGTGGTGGTAGAGAAGGGGTTACAGATGTGGTTTTAGGGAAGGGGTTACAGATGTTATTATAGGGAAGACATAAAGGGAGTGATTTGTAAGGCAGGAACTAGGGATATGGTTTTTGAAAAGGGATGAAGAACATCATCCGGTTTGTGAAGCTGCATGGTATTAGGAAAAAGGTGATGGGAGTGGTTTTAGCGAAGGGGTGAAGAGGTGTTTTTACGGAAAGGATGCGGAGAATGGTTTTAAGAAAGGGGTAACGGGCGGGGTTTTAGGGAACCAATAATAGAAGTAGTGAAAAACTGAGGGAATGGTTTTAAAGTCGAGGTGAGGGGCATTGTTTTAGGGAAGAGTTTAAAGGAGTTGTTTTAGGGAAGGGGTGAAGAGCATGGTCTTTACATCATTAATCCACATTTAGAATGAAATACAACTAAATCATCATTATATATTGTAGGGGTTAATTTATTCTACAGTGATAATATCAAAATTTCAATTTTTCTCAAGGAATGAATGATATTTGCATCCATATCATTTAGAAATGAAAAACAGTTATAATAATTATAGAAAAGGCGGTACAGTTATCTATCTGAAAGGAATTATTACATGAATCGGGAGACACAGGTCATTAATATATACCGGTATATATAAATAAATAAATCCCAGTTAAACTTGTGAAGATAAAAATCACCTTTTTGTTTGAAGTGACAGTTGAATCGTGATGTATAAATGCATTCAATATATTCTGACATAACAATATTCACAGCCACTTTCCCACCTACTTTACATTCAATAAACGACAATAGGCATAAACGTGATTTTTTATAGCAAATATTAAATGGTAATGATATTATTAGTATACCAGTGTTTTGTGTGTTTATATCACCCTTATAAACTGTGATTTTTAATTTGTCAGTATTCAACCTAATGATAATAAGAGGGTCATTAATGTATATGGACAGTTGGAGGTGGGGTGTGGGGAGGGGGGGGTATGAAATTTTTATAACTTACAATTTGAACTTTTTTTTTAAAATTATATTTTTAACTTTCTTAAGAGTCATAATTTGGATAAAAGTGATAATTCTGAGATGTGGAAAATAAAACAAAATCTTCTTCTCCTGAACCACAAAAAGTTAAATATTTAAAGTTTGTCAGACAACAGTATGGAGCACTAACTGCAGGCAGCCCTGGCTCTATACTGGTGGCAAAGGCTGTACGCTATCGGATGGACAATACATAAACTTTTTCTACATATAATGATTGTATTGTCTTGTTTGCAGTTTATGTTCTTGAAATATTTATAGTTCATGGTTATAAGTTCTTGGATAGTTCATGAACTTGTATGTAAAGGTAGTCATGATCTATTTACCACTATTGAAATGGGCTCATTATTTACAAATTATTTTGGTAATGGACTCCTGGTTCATGAACTATTACATAAAAATGACATCAAAGTTTAAAAACTGTTATGGAATGACTAGATGGTAGGTCATGAAACATCATAGTTCATATACTATTATGGAAGCGTACATGCACAATACAATGAACTTTTCTACATATTATGATTGTTTGTCTTGTTTACAGTTTATGTTCTTCATACTATTAGTTCATGGTAACATTAGTAATGAATATTTCATGAACTATATTATGAAAAGAGACTCATGGTCTGTATATTATCATTGAAATTGGCTAATTGTTAATAAACTATTATGATAAAGGATTAGTGCTTCATGAAGCATTACATAAAAAGGCCTCATAGATTATAAACTGTTATGGAATGAAGCTGGTTGTTCTTAAGCCATTATGGAAAAGGCGGCATAGTTCATAAGCTATTATATAAAGAGGCTGGTAGTTCATGAACCATTATGGAAAAGGCAGCATAGTTTATAAACTATTATATAAAGATACTGGTAGTTCATGAACCATTATGGAAAAGGCTTCATACAGTAGTTTATAAACTATTATGTTAAGAGGCCAGTAGTTCATGAACAATTACATAAAATGCCTCATAATTAATATTCTGTTACAGAAAGAGGTTGATAGTTTGTGAACCATTATGGAAAAAGACTGGTTCATACCCTTAATAAACATGAAAAATATGCTATGAATCATAGTCGTTTTTTTTTTTTTAACCGATATATATAAATATATATATTTTTGAAAATCATTATCACAATATGTCACACTGTTTAATGGTATTTTTTGTATTCAATTAAAATGCTATAAAGTTCAATCAATACAGCAGATATTTGTTTGATCACACTGATATTGTTTGCCTTATGTTTTAGTAAATTCTGAATTTAATCAAAAGTGGGGGTTAAAAATATTTGTTGAGCCTTAAAGCAGCATAGCATGCCTCTGCAGATTTGTCTTGAATTTTATGAATTTCTAGCTTTGACAATGTTATAGTAACCCTAGGTACAAATGATGTTAAGTGTACAAAACCAGTGATTCAATGTATCCACAAATACTTATCTATTATTTAAATGAACGCTTAATGAATGATAAATTAGGGGATTTTTTACATTGAATGGTGAATTAGGGAATTCTTTTTTTACAAAGAATTGGTGAATAAGGGGATTTTTTTTACAAAGAATTGGTGAATAAGGGGATTTTTTTTACAATGAATGGTGAATTAGTGGATTTTCTATGAATGATATTAGTTTAGTGGATTTTCAATTAATGCTAAGTTAAGTGGATTTTCAATTAATATGATTAATTGAGGATTTGCCAGAAAATAAATGATGTATTTTCAAGGAAAACATTATACTCATATAACACATTGGCTGACCACCCTTTGTATTCTTACTGAGCTAATTACAAAGTGTGTTATGTTATTTCATACCAACTGTTACACGATTTACGCATATATGTATATAAATTAGTGGGTTTTTTTTAAAACACTTCAGCATATGTTGTTAAGAATAATCAATTTACATAGGAAAACTGGCAATTGACTGAATCATACTATAAAGTGATATGCCAGCTGTTGCTCTTGTCAAGTTAGACATGTACAACAACATTAGGTGTATAACAAGGAAAGTGCACTAAATTTAGGATAATCTTTATTTCGGATAAAATGCTTTGGTTTCTAACGATGTCTGAGTAAGTGGCTAATATAAATGAGCCGCATCATGACAAAACCAACATAGTGCATTTGCGACCAGCATGGATCCAGACCAGCCTGCGTGTCCGCGCAGTCTGATCAGGATCCATGCTGTTTAATTACAAACCCTGTAACAAGAAGAGAAACTGGAAGCAAACAGCATGGATTCTGATCAGACTGCACAGACGCGCAGACTGGTCTGGATCCATGCTGGTTGCAAACCCATTATATTGGTTTTGTCATGGCGTGGCTCAAATGTTGGATGTATTAATTTGTTCTATGTTTAATGATGACCCATTTGGCCATTGAGACACAAAAGACTGTCTTTGCTGTAGAGTATGCACCCCGGACATGTAACCATTTATGCAATAAAAGGGTTAATTTTAAAGTTTAAAGTGGTGATAATTTACCACAATGCAATTTTGATTGAGTGTTAGCCAATTAAAGATATGAATTTTTTGTAGGTCACTTTATAGCGGCTGCTTGTTGACCTTGCTCTCTAATGCAGACTAGCCTTGCTCTATAATGCAGGCTGGCCTTACTCTATAATGCAGACTGACTTTGCTCTATAATGCAGACTGGCCTTGCTCTATAATACAGACTGACCTTGCTGTATAATACAGACTGACCTTACTCTATAATACAGACTGGCCTTGCTCTATAATGCAGACTGGCCTTGCTCTATAATGCAGACTGGCCTTGCTCTATAATACAGACTGACCTTGCTCTATAATACAGACTGACCTTGCTCTATAATACAGACAGACCTTGCTCTATAATACAGACTGGCCTTGCTCTATAATGCAGACTGACCTTGCTCTATAATACAGACTGCCCTTGCTCTATAATACAGACTGCCCTTGCTCTATAATGCACACTGACCTTGCTCTATAATGCACACTGACCTTGTTCTATAATGCAGGCTGCCCTAGCTCTATAATGCAGACAGACCTTGCTCTATAATGCAGGCTGACCTTGCTCTATTATATAGACTGGCCTTGCTCTATAATGCAGACTGGCCTTGCTCTATAATACAGACTGACCTTGCTCTATAATACAGACTGACCTTGCTCTATAATACAGACTGCCTTGCTCTATAATGCAGACTGCCCTTGCTCTATAATACAGACTGACCTTGCTCTATAATGCAGGCTGGCCTTGCTCTATAATGTAGACTGACCTTGCTCTATAATACAGACTGGCCTTGCTCTATAATACAGACTGACCTTGCTCTATAATGCAGACTGGCCTTGCTCTATAATGCAGACTGACCTTGCTCTATAATGCAGACTGACCTTGCTCTATAATGCAGACTGGCCTTGCTCTATAATGCAGACTGGCCTTGCTCTATAATGCAGACTGACCTTGCTCTATAATACAGACTGACCTTGCTCTATAATGCAGACTGCCCTTGCTCTATAATGCAGACTGCCCTTGCTCTATAATACAGACAGACCTTGCTCTATAATGCACACTGACCTTGCTCTATAATGCAGACTGCCCTAGCTCTATAATACAGACAGACCTTGCTCTATGATGCAGACAGACCTTGTTCTTTAATGCAGACTGACCTTGTTCTATAACGAGACTGACTTTGCTCTATAATGTTACTGCAGGTTTTAGTAGGGTAAAGGTTATAAGTAAATTAAGAAAATATAAACAAGTAATCAAAGTAGACATTTCTTGTAGCATATTCTTCATTTATTGACTGTCACCTTAGACATTTAAGCCGCGTCACCACAAAACCAACATAGTGCGTTTGCAACCAGCATGGATCCAGACCAGCCTGCGCATCCGGGCAGCCTGATAAGGATACAGACCAGCCTGCGCATCTGTGCAGTCTGATAAGGATCCATGCTGTTTGCTTACCAACTCTATTACAAGTGGAGAAACTGACAACGTTCATTATGACTTAGTTTCCTTTTTTGTGCGCTTACCAACCCTATAACAAGTAGAAAAACTGATAGTGAACAGCATGTATCCTGATCAGACTGCACGGATGCGCAGACTGGTCTGGATCCATGCTAGTTGCAAACGCACTATGTTGGTTTTATCATGACACGGCTCAATTTTGGTGTTTTGGTACAATGCATAGATCCAGAGTGGTGAAGGATAGGAGGGCCATGATCCTATATTGGGATCTAGCTAGAATGTTTAACCCCTGTGAGATTTTGACATCGTTTCCTGTTTTGTTTAATGAAAATCATGCAGTAACTATTTAAAATCACTCAAAAACTAACCCCCTCCCTGGAAAATTTATAAAATGACAAACCACTCCCTTATCGTGCATTACATTTCTAAACTTTTTGATCCACTTCTGGAAAAATATCTTTGATCCTCCCCTATATTCTTCAAATCTCTATCATATGTAAGTGTTTGAGGTTGATTGAATCAAGTTCATTTAAGGTCATTTAAGGTCAATTGTATTACATTATTAGAAATACATATTTCTTTGTTTTTCCTTATAAAAAGGCCATTTTACAAGGTTTAAATGTCTTTCACTGCCAGAGGGTTATTGTTTTATTGATCACCTATTTGCCAGAGAGTTTTCTAAGAAATTACTATATTATTAATTAATATAATTATTATTATAGAAACGGCAAAAGCCGTCCATATTGCAAATACGCCGAAAATAACAGGGACGGCATAAGCCGTCCTCATGGCAGTGAAAGGGTTAAAGAAAATGTCAGTTATAGAAACATAAGGGTCAGTGAAAGGGAGTTTAGTGGTCATCCAATATATATTTTCTGTTAATTCGCTTAATTTCGTGGGCATGAAATGTTGTCATAAAGAACATTTTCATGGGTTCTCTAATTCTTGGAGTTAGAATGTAAATAATGTAATGCAAAATAATTTTACAGCAGATGACATGATCTTAAATTTATGGATTGACCTTATAATCCAAGAAAACCACAAACATTAGTTCCCCACAAATAATAATGATTTTGCAGTAAATTTACAAGCTATACAATCTGTCACTTGATCATCTCCAAATAAAAACAACACTTTACAACACAACTATAACAACAGCAACACTTTACAACACAACTATAACAACAGCAACACTTTACAACACAACTATAACAACAGCAACACCTCACAACACATTTATAACAACAGCAACACTTTACAACACAACTATAACAACAGCAATGCCTAACAACACAACTATAACACAACAACACTTTAAAACACAACTATAACAACAAAATGCCTAACAACACAACTTATAGCAACAGCAACACTTTACAACACAACTATAACAACAGCAATGCCTAACAAACACAACTATAACAACAGCAACACTTAACAACACAGCTATAACAACATCAATACCTCACAAACAAACTATAAAACAACAACACCTCACAACACAACTAATAACAAAAGCAACACCTCACAACACAACTATAACAACAGCAACACTTAACAACACAACTATAACAACAGCAACACTTAACAACACAACTATAACAACAGCAACACCTCACAACACAACTATAACAACAGCAACACTTCACAACACAACTATAACAACAGCAACACTTAACAACACAACTATAACAACAGCAACACTTAACAACACAACTATAACAACAGCAACACCTCACAACACAACTATAACAACAACAACACCTTACAACACAACTATAACAACAACAACACTTAACAACACAACTATAACAACAGCAACACTTAACAACACAACTATAACAACAGCAACACCTCACAACACAACTTTAACAACAACAACAGCTTTGTTGAAAAAACCTGAAAAGACCAAACACAAATTCGCTTTTGATTTCTTATTTGAGCAATTATGATAATTATGATGTAAAAGATTATGAGACTAAATAAGTTTTTTCCCACGTGTATTTATTCTTTATGTTGTTTTTAGTTTTCAAAAACAATCTTGTTGGTGTATAATTTTCATTAAAAAATAGTTTTTCTCATTTGTTTAAATTTTGTATATACAGTTCACGTTCTGCCTCAAGTGACTCGGCCATTGAAAGAGGGGAGGGAACTCCGCAGGAACTAATATCTCGTCTTGGAGAACTTGAACGAGAGTTAATGTAAGATGAACAAAAAGCTTTTAATCTAGATTCACTTTATATTCAGTTTGGTGGTTTCTTCTATATAGTTGTCTTTGTAACCATTTTATTTGCTTTGGTTTAATTTTTCTCTCTTTTTTGTTTTTACAAGAGCGGGCATTTTTATAACCATTTTATTTGCTTTGGGTAATCGTTTTTCACTTGCTTTTGGGTGTGACAGTGTTTATTATACACTTGCCAGCAAAAGAAAGAATACGCACTTTCAGTCAGTATTTATTCACTTGAAAGTAGAAAAGTATATGTAAAAAAAATTTTAAAAATGTTAAAATAAACTGAATATTTAAATCGTTTCTGAGTGCTTACTTTCTTTTGCTTGTAGTTTTAGTGTATATATCCTATATGTAACAATCTAGCATAGTATTATATATATTTGCTTACTCATAGCTTTTGCGCTTTATACTTTGTCTTGCTTATGATATGATATAGCTTTTACAACAAATTTGTTAACATTTAAATTGGTAGAGTAGTCTACTGTTGTAATTTGTTGTTCAGATTCACTGGTAAATGTTCATACATTATAAAATGTTTGAAGTCTTAAGTTAATTACAGCATGTAGACTTAATTTCCTTTTTTCAACAAGTTTACTTAAGATAAATTATATCAATATATTAATTAATATTTTTGATACATTAAAATCCAAGTTTATCGACAACAACAACAACAACACAAAAGTTTTGAAGAAGAAATTACAGCAATTTTGCCAGAAACCCTATTTATAGATGACCTAATTTCTTGGTAATGTGTATTTATAGAGATGACCTTTGTAGGTAAAGTTTATTTATAGGTGACCTTTAATGGTAAAGTCTATTTAAAAATGACCTTTTGAGGTAAAGTCTTTTTATAAATGACCATTTTAAGGAAAGTCTATTTATAGATGTCCTTTCATGGTAAAATCTATTTATAGATGACCTTTCATGGTAAAGTCTATTTATAAATGACCTTTCTAGGTAAAGTCTATTTATAGATAACCTCTAAAAATGTATAGTCTAGGTACAGATGACCTTTCTAAAATAAATCTGTTCATATTATAACACCTAATTTATATCTCCCTAGGTTAGCCAAAATCTTCTCTAATGTGTCTGTGAGTGCCAGATGGCCTAAATTGTATAAGTGTGCTGTATGAATTTGTGATATCAACCAAACAAAGGAATCCCAATACCAGTATAATACTAGTCCATGTATAAACCTTACTATAACATCTATTATACTGGTATGACCCAGCTAAAAGAAATCAAATTCTAGTGAAATACAGTAAAACCTCCACAGAATGACCCTCTGGAGAGCAGTTACCTCTTTACAAGTTTTGACACTATATTATACCTTTAAAGAGCAATACCTCTGAAGCAACAACAAAAAAGAAACATTTTTTGGTCAAATTTCATGAATTGGTCTCTTCTCTTATTGAGAGATTTTTATACCCCCACAAACGAAGTTTAGGGGTGTATATAGGAGTCAGCTTGTCCGTCGGTCGGTCGGTCCGTCGGTCAGTCCACATTATGGTTTCCAGACGATAGCTAGAGTTTGGAATGAGGTATTGTAATCAAACTTGTTATATAGCAACCTTATGTGGAAACTCCGGTTGGTATTGCATTTGGACCCCCTGGGGTCAAGGTCAAGGTCACCGTTAGAAAAATGGTTTCCGGACAATAACTAGAGTTAGGAATGAGATATTGCTATCAAATTTTGCGTATAGCAAGCTTATATGAAGACCTGGGTTGGTATTGCATTTGGACCCCCTGGGGTCAAGGTCAAGGTCATTGTTACTAAAAATAGAAAAACAGTTTCCGGACAATAACTTGAGTTAGGAATGAGATATTGTTATCAAACTTGGTGTATAGCAAGCTTTTATGAAGACCTGGGTTGGTATTGCATTTGGGCCCCCTGGGGTCAAGGTCACCATTACTAAAAATAGAAAAATGGTTTCCGGACAATAACTAGAGTTAGGAATGAGATATTGTTATCAAACTTGGTGTATAGCAAGCTTATATGAAGACATCGGTTGGTATGGCATTTGGGCCCCCTGGGGTCAAGGTCAAGGTCACCGTTACTAAAAATGGAAAAATGGTTTCCGGACAATAACTAGAGGTAGGATTGAGATATTGTTATCAAACTTGGTGTATAGCAAGCTGATATGAAGACCTGGGTTGGTATTGCATTTGGACCCCCTGGGGTCAAGGTCACCGTTACTAAAAATAGAAAAATGGTTTCCGGACAATAACTAGAGTTAGGAATGACATTTTGTTATCAAACTTGGCGTATAGCAAGCTGATATGAAGACCTTGGTTGGTATTGCATTTGGACCCCCTAGGGTCAAGGTCACTGTAACAGTGTTACTAAAAATAGAAAAATGGTTTCCGGACAATAACTAGAGTTAGGAATGAGATATTGTAATCAAACTTTGTGAAAAGCAAGCTTATTTGGAGACCCCAGTTGGGATTACAATTAATTGAAATATTTCTTTGTACACAGTTGATAGTTTGTGTTCAAATTTTTCTTCAGACTACTTATTTTTCAAAAAGTCAAAGTTGCTGGTGGGGGTATTAATCACCTTCAGTGATAGGTCTAGTTTTTGATTACTCAAACAAATTTTCATACAGGTGCTCTTGTTTTAGATTTCCTTATTTGACACAGCAGGTGTCAGAGGATTGACTGGGAAATAAATTGAGGCTTGGTGAGACATCAGTCTATGACAAATTATGTTATGTAGGATTAGACGTACCCTACAGAGGACACGATTGTGACAGCTGGGCTAATACCTGGTTGTACCTATTAAAAAAGTGTATATTTTACATGGAGCTTTTGAAACTGCTCTTTGGTGCCAGTTTTTATGCCAGTGTTTGTTTTGTTGCAAGTTAATTGTGCCAGTGTTGGCTTTGGTGCCAGTTCTTGTGCCAGTGTTGGCTTTGGTGCCAGTTCTTGTGCCAGTGTTGGTTTTGTTGCAAGTTATTGTGCCAGTGTTGGCTTTGGTGCCAATATTGAATTTGGTGCCAATGTTGGTTTTGGTGTCAATGTTGGTTTTGGTGTCTGTGTTGGTTTGGGTGCCAATGTTGGTTTTGGTGCCTGTGTTGGATTTGGTGCATGTGTTGGTTTTGGTGCCGATGTGTTTGAAGGGCGTTTTACAGCACTCCATTCAAGCCAAGTCTAACAAAGCTTGTCCATAACAGAAGTATGGTTGGTGTTAGTTTTGGTGCCAATGTTGGTTTTGGTGCCTGTGTTGGTATTGGCTGTTTTTGATGCAAATCAAGGTGGTAGTGATGATTGTAGTTTTTTAACTGCGGATCACAGCAGTATTAGCCACATTGAATTTAAGGCATTGATCCTAGGCAGGCTGTCAAGCAGTTTAACAGTACTAGTTGCCTTTACTTTCGCAAGGAACTGTAAGTTCTGTACATTCCAGAGCAGAGGTACAGTGTGAATGACAGTAGAAAGGATTTCGTGATCAATCACATTAAACCTGATGTGGCCCAATTCATAGTCCAATAGTCCAACACTCTTCATTTTGATCTATTCAGACAGTGGGCTGCCAATCCAGGTTTGGTGCCAGTGCTGTTTTTAGGGATAACTTTCATGTAAGGGACAGTTCTTGTGCCCGTGAGGGCTGTATCTTGTGCCCGTGAGGGCTGTTTCTTGTGCCAGGGATAACTTTGATGTAAGGGTCAGTTTGGTGACAGCTGGGCTGGTTTTTGTGTCAGCACTGATATGCAATTATATTTGGAGTAGCATCAAAGAACATCGTTTGAGACTTTATTCCTGGAATAGTGCTAAATTAAAATTAAACACAAGAAAAACTCACTAATGTACAAAGCAATTAAGACGTTGTTTCCCACATCCAAAAAAGTTGGAAGTATAATACAGTAATACATGCTCCAAAATTGGATACCAGCCAGCTAGAATATTAAAGTTTTCCTTTAGAAAATTACTTGAGAAAAATCTTCTTTCTTTTTTTTCGGAAAAAAAGACATTTTTAGACAGTTTTTATTCCCCAGAGATAGATAGATCAGTGTAAACTGAATTTTTAAAATATGAATCATTTTTAAAGCTGCACGCCTCCAGATGAGCCAAAATATTTTAAGAAATTCAATCTTTAGAAAAATTTATTAAGATCTTAAGAAAAATAAAAAGATTCAATATTTAATTAATGATTTACATGTTATGTGTGATGAATGACTGATTTTGCTTTTTCAATCACTAAAATTCTTTTGTGTTACTAACGCAGTAAGAGGTATTTATGTATATTTTGACCTCTTTTTGTTAATTTACGTGGATTTTAAGTGCCGTTTGCAATGTGTAAATTACTTTCTTTGTTCACTTCACAATACTTTACTTTTAAATATGTTTTCAAAATTTTCATGAAAATTAGCATGAATCTGGAGGCATGCTGCTTTAATTAGTAAATTTCTCGAAAATGTTTCCGCCACAATTGGATTTTAACAAACACAATTTTCTTCTGTTAAAATAGACTCCCATTTAACAATAGAAAAATGTAGTTTTAATTAAGTTACAGATCAGCCTTTGGGTACACTTTAAAAGATTGAAAATTGAACAGAAAATTTTTAATCCTGTTGAGAATCAGGAAAGCTTAGATTTTCAAAACAAAACTTGAAATTTTTAGTTTTGTGTGTGAATTTTCAGTTGAAATTAAGATCGGATGAAAATAAATCTTTGATGTGCCGAGGAAATAATCATGAAAGCTGATAGATCACATGGAGAAACTAAGTCTCTTTTCTTAGTTCATGTAAAGTTCATGTTATTTTGGATTTAATTGTTTTGAAATTATGTGAGGTTTTCTTTTTTACATACAACATGTTGCTAGACTGGAAAGGAAGTTTTGTATAAATATCTTAAAAAAAATGTAAGTGCGCTTTAGATATTGTTTGTTAAAAATAAATGTTAAACTTAAAGAATTTGAACATTCTTTAAATTTATATATATTTTTTAAATTCAAATACATTTCATGTTTTAATTAAAGCTCTTTACAGGGTACATTTATGATTTTATGTCATAAATTCAGCTTATTTTAGTGTACATTTATGTCATAAATTTAGCTTGTTACAGTGTACATTTATGATTTTATGTCTTAAATTCATCTTGTTACATGTACATTTATGATTTTATGTCATAAATTCAGCTTATTTCAGTGTACATTTATGATTTTATGTCATAAATTCAGCTTATTTTAGTGTACATTTATGATTTTATGTCACAAGTTCAGCATTATTACAGTGAAGATTCATGTCGTTTTATGTCATAAATTGGATTTATTACAGTGTATATTTATGATTTTATGTCATAAATTCAGCTTATTTCAGTGTACATTTATGATTTTATGTCATGAAATGTATTGGTCTAATTATTTCTATTATACATATTGAATATTTATTTCTATGAAATTTATGGGTCATGAAATTTATGGGTCTATATTTCAGTTACACAAAGATGAATATAAAATTGTTTATATGGAAATGTATTGGTGTCTTTTCAAATTTTAGAAAATATGAATATTTATATGTCTATAAAATGTAAATATTTATGTCCATGAAATGTATTGGCCTCTTTTCAAATTTTAGAAAATATGAATATTTATGTCTATAAAATTTTAATATTTATGTCCATGAAATGTATTGGCCTCTTTTCAAATTTTAGAAAATATGAATATTTATGTCTATAAAATGTAAATATTTATGTCTATGAAATGTATTGGCCTCTTTTCAAATTTTATAAAATATGAATATTTATGTCTATAAAATGTAAATATTTATGTCTATGAAATGTATTGGTGTCTTTTCAAATTTTAGAAAATATGAATATTTATGTCTATAAAATGTAAATATTTATGTCTATGAAACGTATTGGCCTCTTTTATTGTTCTTAGAAAATGAATTATTATATTATTTTTATGTCTGTGAAACATATTATTGGTTTGTTTTAATATTTTACTTCTATAAAATGTTTATTTATGACTCTGAAATTTATTAGCTTCTTGTTTAGTACTGGAAGATAAAAATTATTGGTATTTATTACATACCCGTGCCGATTTTGCGACTCCGTAAATATGGTATTGCACGGCCGTGCATATATTTTGACGTGACGTCATTAGCGTTATACAAACATAGTGTAAAGACGCGCTAAATGTCAGCGTTATACTATAGGCGCGTCAATGAAAAATGACTCTTATTTCACTTTAAACAGACTTTATTTTGGTTATGTGATAAATAGAATATTAAATTCGTGTAAGTTCATTACTGAATTTATTGCACTCGTTGAATAAAATAATATTATGCTCGCCAGAGGCTCGCATAATATAATTTTATTCAACTCGTGCAATAAATTCAGTATTGAACTTACACTCATTCAATATCCTCTATTTATTACATGTATATGCTTTTCGGTGGTTTATAGAAATATATCAGTGAAATATAAAATTGATAATTTCACTGTTTTGAATTTAAGCCCCTTACGATGTTTTAGTGAAATACCAGCATTAACACTGGAAACCAGCTTAATGATGTGACATAGTAAATGACGTCACACTGTATTATTATGTTACGCGTTTTTCATTAGTATTAGGGTAATGGATTTGTAAACATTTTTCTTTGCATATAATAAAAAGAAAATTTGTTTAGTTTAGTGCACCACTCGTGAAATATACCATTTGGTGGTCACTCGGTGAAATATATTTCAATCTTACACTGAACTAAACAAATATCCTCTATATATTATTATTTCAGTTCTACAAAATGTGAACTTGCCAAGGTTATGAACAGACAGACAAGTTATCAAGAACTTCTTCTACAGAAAGATGATACAATAAAATATTTGGAGGAACAGAACAGTGACGGTTTGAAAGAAGAGAAGAAAAATAGGTGTGTAAAATATTAACATAATTGAGCCGCGTCACCACAAAATTGCGACCAGCATGGATCCAGACCAGTCTGCGCATCCGCGCAGTCTGATCAGGATCCATGCTGTTCGCTATAAGTTTCTTGCAATAGGGTTTGTAAGCAAACAGCATGGATCCTGATCAGACTGCGTGGATGCGCAGACTGGTCTGGATCCATGTTGGTCACAAATGCATTATGTTTGTTTTGTCATGACAGAACTGAGCAATGAGTGTAAAGTTTCTTGCTCAAGGAAACAACAACTTGTACCTGACGGGGTTTGAACCCATGTGACTAGCGATCAAAAGATTACTAGCCTGTTAGTTAACTTTGTGATATTTAGTATCAATTTAAATATTTTTCATCAAATACTAACCTCTGTTACCCGTTATTGAATTTTCTAACCAGTTTTTAGCTAAAAACTGTCTGAACCCTTTCAGAAGGATAAACTTGACACCCCAAGTAAGAAGGAACTAGATATGGAGATTCATCATGGCCAATGGGGTTCAAACATGAAAAATAAATATTCCAGTATTTGCACCCTAAAAATGTCAAGTATTAAATCACAATTGCCCTTTTCCATTGAAAAAAAATACAAGACTAAACAAAATTATTTAAGTACATGAATTAATATAAAGGAATGTTTTATAATTCTATTTTTGTTAACAAAATATATATACACACATAAATAACATTAGTATGTTAAAAATATTTGTTACATACGTAGTGGTCCATTCAAACTATGACTTTAAGGGTCAATATTGCGGATCATGAGTTTTCTTTATTGACATGGTAAAAACTTTTCTCAAACTCAAAGAGTCTGTGGTGTTAAGGTTTATCATGAAAAGTAGATATATATCGATGACCTCACTTTATTTTGAACTCATATAAAGTATAGATTAGTTTATTATAAAAATGACAACCCATGTAAGATCCTTTATATAATGCTGCTTTTCGTTGGATAATTATGATGTGTATATAAACATTATACACTGCTGCTGTCAAATTTATTTTTTTCTCTTATAAATGAAGTTTGTTGTATTGTAAATTTGTTATAGAAATTTTTTAACAGGTTATAATGGCCAAATATAATTGGTTGTTTATATATAGAACTCAGGAGCCGGTTGAAATTTTGCAATATTATAAATTTTTTATAATGTTTCTTGACAGATGCTAGGGCTATATATGCAAACAACCATTTTATATAGGGCCATATAACCTGTCAAAGAATCTTTAATGATATACATAAAACAAAAAGTAAAGTAGAAGGTGAAGATGATGTTGTACATGTATGTTGTATTTCATGATGGTTGTTCAGTCATTTTTACAATGATAACCAACATATTAAAATCCTATTTTTTAGTTACAGTTTTTACCGCCTCCATTGTCAAGGGGTTAGAGTCGATGACTTCTAATCCAGTTACCTCTCTGGTGTGGGTTCGATCCCCGGGAGATGCTTTGGTAGTTTAGCACGGAGGAAGGTAGTCTAGTACTGGTATAACTCTCCAGGAACAATGGTTAGGAAACTACCCACCTATATGAGTGAAAAACTATTGGGAAAAGGCGTAAAATGAAACAAACAAAACAAACAAAATAGTTACAGTTAAATACATGTACATCATAAACAAGAAAAATGATGTCTCACCAAAATTTAAAAAAAAATTAAAAACAACAAAAAAAGCAACAACAGCAACAAAAAGATAGAATATAAAACATTAATGGCATCATGCTTGATGATGCAACACTTTGCAATAAACCAAATTACTGTAGATAACCTGTCCCCATTTTACAAGCAAATCATTTCAAGCATTGTTTAAACTAGTACTGTATAAAATTTAATGTAAAAACTCACTTTAATATGACAGTTGTTGTATAAAATGACTGTAAATTGAGATGGGGGAAATCATATTTGAAATTATAGAAATATATAATTGATATCCTCAGAGACAGAATGAATCATTAGATTTTATAGTGTCATTTTAAGTTTAAAATTATTGTGTATTTTGATTCTCTTAATGCTTTAAAACATTACATAGAGGATATTGAATGAGTGTTGATTTATAATACTAAATTTTGCAACTAGTTGGGTAAAATGATATTGTTTTGTTCATCGAGTTCAATAAATGAAATATTTAATTTACACAAATATAATATTATATATATCACAATTTCCAAAATAAGAACGGTAAATCAGAGCTAAAAAGAATCATACATGTATATTTCATTGACGTGCCTTATTGTGTTATGCAAACATAAGCGCACTTATACCTTATGTTTGTAGTACTTCATGTATATAGCGCAAATGATGTCACGCCAAAGCGTTATATTACACTAGCGTAATATTACTTTTATTCAACAGCTTTTCTACACTTCCTTGCTAAGATATATGTGATAATGTATTTGAGCTTAATTGAGAAGAAAAATTGAACAATGGACCATAGCTTTCAGTACTCAGTGTCAGGATGGCATGTACGAAAGCTTGCACATGCCTCAGCCTCAATTATACTGAGTTAATATCATTTTCAATTTGCCATCTTGGGCGACCTGTTGGGGTTCCATTTTGATTCATTATATTTATATCACAGAGGTAGATGAACATTCTTTTGTAACAATATTGCTACATATTATTCAAATTATTACTTGAAAATATAAATTAGAAAAGTGGCGTTGTACATACAAACATAGGATATGTAGTTATTGACACAAAATAGCTGTTCAATATTATACAATTATTGACTAGTGTAACATTGAATATGACTTGATATTCACCGGGCAGTTGACATATTGACTGAGTCAAATCAGCAACAGGAGCATGGGCACCAGAATAGACCCGCCAGTCTTCTAGTTGGATAGCTTTCTCACATGGCAATGTTGAGATTTTCTGTGACGCACAAAGTTAGTGTCACATCATAATTAAATTTATACCTTTTTTTACTTTTCAGTTATCGTAGATTTTCATAAAATAATGACATATATATTTTGTAGATCACCCGCGAAGCTAAAGAAGGCAGATAAGGAATTTCAAGAGAAGATTCGAGTGTTACAGAATCAGAACAGGTTCCTTAACGAAGAAGTTAAAAAACTCGCAAAACTTCGACTGAAGGAACAAGGTCATTATCAGGAACAAAACATGTAAGTGGTGCACGTGAAACAGGATAAAAAAAAGCTTGTTAATCTTAAAGTTGTCCCACCGAGGTCCCAAAACCTTAAAACATGAAATTTGAAATTCTTACAAAGACCAACAGTTTCTACGGCTCTGAAATGGAAAAATATATAAAAGATCATGAATTCTTGAAAATAAATTTAGTGAGATTCTTTGCTTGAGTTAAGTTAAAGAATTTTAACTCTTTTCATTTTAAGTCATTTTGCACTATTATAGTATGGCCTTTGATTACAGAGGTGTAAAAATACAGGCGTTATTGGCCCTATCAAATCAACCGCAATTCTTTGGAACGGAGTGTCAATAATAGGCATTTCACCTAAAGGAGCTTTCTGAAGTCTACCCCTGGGCACCGTCTTCTGACAAATATCACAGGAACGGCAAAATCTAGTAATATCACTAGAAATACCTGGCCAGTGAAAACTAGACTGTATCCTGTCTAACGTTTTGCGTACAGACAAATGCTCACCCACTATAGATTCATGAGCTAATGACATAACTCTTTTGTGGTATTTACTAGGAACAACTATTTGTCTTGTTTCAGACTTCAAATCACCTTTCACCGTCTCAAATATTCTATACAACACATCTTTTTCTACACCTTTATTTGGAGGTGGTATTTCATACACGTGTAACTGCACAGTGTACATGTGTTATTGGCAGAAACCCTTGTATTGTGATTATTGCAATAATTTCTAGTCACTTATTGTTTTCTGCTATTATATAAAAACTCAATTTCTAGTCACACGTTTTCCAACAGTAAACTCCGCTTATAACGAACTCATTTGGACATTCAAAATCTGTTCCTTTTATTAGGAGTTCCTTGTAAGCATAGCATATAGCACATTAGTTCCTTGTTTAAGGAGTTTTTATAGCGAACAGATTTACACATAAAGAACTGTTAGTTTACCATCGTTCTCCATTTTGAAGAGTATTTGTTTAAGAAAAAGTAGTCATTTATTTCTTTTTTAGACACAATATCCGAGAGCGTAATTTTTGTAATTTGAAAATCCTTTGCTATTTCAGTTTAAGTTTTCCAATTCTAGTCACATTTTTTCCGATATTATACTAAACTCAATTTCTAGTCACATGTTTTCCGACATTATATGAAACTCAATTTCTAGTCACATGTTTTCCGATATTAAAGGGAAGTCAATTTCTAGTCACATGTTTTCAGATATTATAGGAAATTCAATTTCTAGTTGCATGTTTTCTGACATTATATGAAACTCAATTTCTAGTTATATGTTTTCCGATATTAAAAGAAAGTCAATTCCTAGTCACATGTTTTCCAATATTATAGGAAACTCAATTTCTCGTCACATGTTTTCCAAAATTATCGGAAACTCAATTTCTAGTCACATGTTTTCCGATATTATAGGAAACTCCAATTCTAGTGACATGTTTTCCGATATAATAGGAAACTCAATTTCTAGTCACCTGTTTTCCGAAATTATAGGACACTCAATTTCCTGTAAAATGTTTTCCGATATTATAGGAGACTCGATTTCTAGTCACATGTTTTCCAATATTACAGGAAACTCAAATTCTAGTCACATGTTTTCCTACATATGAAACTTCTAATCAAATGTTTTCCGATATTAAATGAAAGTCAATTTCTAGTCATATGTTTTCCAATATTATAGGAACCTCAATTTTTAGTCACATGTTTTCATATATTATCAGAAACACAATTTCTAGTAACATGTTTTCCAATATTATAGGAAACTCAATTTCTATTCACATGTTTTCCAATATTAAAGGAAACTCAATTTCTTGTCTCTTGTTTTCCAATATTATGTAAAACTCAATTTCTAGTCACATGTTTTCAGATATTTTATGAAACTCTATTTCTCATTATTTTGCCGATATTAAAGAAAACTCATTTTCTAGTCACATGTTTTCCGATATTATGGGAAACTCAATTTCTAGTCACTAGTTTTCCAATATTAACAGACACTTAATTTCTAGTCAAATGTTTTCTGATATTAACAGACACTCAATTTCTAGTCAAAGGTTTTCCGATATTAAAGAAAACTCAATTTCTAGTCACATGTCTTCCGATATTAAAGGACACTCAATTTCTAGTCACATGTTTTCCGATATTATAGGAAACTCAATTTCTAGTCACATGTTTTCCGATATTATAGGAAACTCAATTTCTAGTCACATGTTTTCCGATATTATAGGAAACTCAATTTCTTGTCAAATGTTTTCCGATATTAAAGGAAACTCAATTTCTAGTCACATGTTTTCCGATATTATAGGAAACTCAATTTCTAGTCAAATGTTTTCCGATATTAAAGGAAACTCAATTTCTAGTCACATGTTTTCCGATATTATAGGAAACTCAATTTCTAGTCACATGTTTTCCGATATTATAGGAAACTCAATTTCTAGTCACATGTTTTCCGATATTATAGGAAACTCAATTTCTAGTCACATGTTTTCCGATATTATAGGAAACTCAATTTCTAGTCACATGTTTTCCGATATTTTAGGAAATTCAATTCTTAGTCACATGTTTTCCAATATTATACTAAACTCAATTTCTAGTCACATGTTTTCCGACATTATAGGAAACTCAATTTCTAGTCAAATGTTTTCCGATATTATAGGAAACTCAATTTCTTGTCACATGTTTTCCGATATTATAGGAAACTCAATTTCTAGTCACATGTTTTCTGATATTATAGGACACTAAATTTCTAGTCACATATTTTACGGACACTCAATTTCTAGTCACATGTTTTCCGATATTATAGGAAGTCAATTTCTAGTCACATGTTTTCCTATATTATAGGAAATTCAATTTCTAGTCACATGTTTTCCGATATAGGAAGTCACATGTTTTCCGATATTATAGGAAATTACAGCATTTAGAAGCAGAGATAGACAAATGGAAGATGGATTATGTGAGCTTGATACAGTCTAGTATACGTTTCCCTGGTGACGAGGGTGTAGAAGATGTCGAGTTGTGCCTGTATGGAGGTGATAAGGTAACAGTCACTCATTGTATATAATTACTCGCCTATAGGACTTGTGTATCTCTTATAAGACGGGGGTCTATGTTTTGACTTTAACTTGGTATTAGTTTTAAATTTCCTTTTATACAATTTAAGACATGGCCAGTACTTTAAAAGTAAATTCAGCAGTAATTTTCTTGTTCTGAATTTTTTTTTTTGTGATATGCAGATATTAAGTTGAGGTTTATGGTAAAGTCATTAAAAATTGAAGGAAAAGAACCCATCTTATAAGGTCAAATGTACAACTCTATAAATCCTATAACCCTTGAAGGATTTTCTTCAAACTCCAAATTGTTCATTTCAACAAGTCAGTGTGCTATCCAGAACCCATTCGGCCATAATTCCAGGTCAAGGTCATGGCCACCCCTGAGGGTCAAATATCAGGCAATTTCTTGTCCCCTTAACTTAAAACAAACATCCTATTTATGCTAACGCCAACACCAAAACATATATTTTACTTTAATGTAGGTTCACAACAAATAAAGTAACATATTATTCCAATTCTGACATTGTCAAGGAAGTTCATGACGTTGTGATGTCATGAGGTCATTAATACTACATGTAGTAGCATTATATCTGTGGCACCTCTAGCTATAGCTTGGATTTTTATGCAATTGGAGCACCTTATATAAAAAAATTAGTAGGTGAAATTTTGTCTGCAAGATATATTTCTGTAACTAGCAAAGTACTGATTTGAAACTTACAGTATTCTCTCTATATCACACCCCTGGCAAGCCACTGGGGGGGGGTGCTAATTTGAACTATAAAAATGTGTGGGGGGGGGGCGTTAATTGGGAACAATATGGTATAATTGATGATTGTGGTATATAGCAGCTAAGACAAATATTCTCATTATGTACTTTCAGCATAAAAAGAGAGTTCAAGTACTACTAGAAGAAGCAAGAAAGATAAATCCACGGTTACCAACATATGAAAGGCATACTTTTTGTTTTTGTATTATGATTTCTTACAAAATATTTGAGGATATTGTGTTGTTCGTAATTGGTGAACCCTTAAACTGCTAAATGGATTAGTCCTGCTTTGAAATTGGAATAGTCCATTTGAAGTTTAAGGGTTTTCAGTATCATCCCCATGTTTTTGTCACATGCTTCTAAATTTTTTTTTTTTTTTTTTTGAGAAAATTCTGTTGTTTTTAATTGATAGACCCTTAAAAACTACTGAATTGATTTACCCTGGTGCTTTGAAATTTCTAAAAATAAACAAATTTCAGAATAATTTATAATAGGGGCAATTGAGTGTTAAATCAAACAAATCTAATTCCATTTAACCCGTAACCTTCTGACTTTGTTAATTGATACATTGAAAGAGAGGAAAAAAAAGGCAAATTAAGACAGTAACATTGACTCATATGTTATTGTTTTCATTAACATCGTATTATGTTAAGGGAGGGGCGTCCATGGCTGAGTGGTTAAGGTCATTGACTTCAAACCACTTGCCCCTCACCCCTGTGGGTTCGAATCCCGACAGGGACTTTGGATTCTATCATGTGAGGAAGCTATCCAGCTAGCTTACAAAACGTTGGTGGTTCTACTCAGGTGCCCGTTCGTGCCTGAAAAAATGCACGGAAGGACACCTCAGGTCTTCCTCCACCAGTAAAGCTGGAATGTCGGCATATGACCTATACTATGTCGGTGTGAAGTAAAACCCAATAAAACAAACAAAACAATGTTAAGGGAGCACCTATTAGATTGATGGAATTATTTAGATTATTTAATTTAGCTTGACAATATTAAGATATATTTGGGTTTAAGTGTCAGGAATGGCACCTAAACTGTCCTATTACCTGTCTTTCATAAATGTCTCCTTGAAACCACGACATTGCATTGCTTTCTTAAAAAAAGAGAGAGGAAGTAAATAAGGGGAATTAACTCTTATGATTTCATGTCTAAGATGAATGTGTTTTACGGCTTTGTAAGCCATGTAAAGGGCCGTAAATATAAGAAGCATAAATTCATGTTTTTATTGCCCACTTTGCCCTTTTCTGTCATTACTCTGCTAGATAGCTCGTTCTGTTCTGTTAAAACAATGTGGGGTCATTTGTGTTCTTTGGACACATTTCTCATTTACATGTCTAAGATTATTATGTCCATTCTATCTTAAACGTGGTTCAAAAAAAAAAAATGTCCATTTTTTTCTTTTACCAGTTTGGCTAACAATGAGGTACATGTGGACGTGTATGGTTTCAAGCACGTGTACACAAACACGGGGCTCTTGTTACATTACCTGTGTACAGAGTTGACGTACCACTATCTGGTGCAGGCAGGCGTCTACGAGGATCACCAGAAACGATGGACCATGTTTATGAGACAACATGGCAAAGATCCAGTCTCTTGTGTTAGTTGGTTTCATCATTTGAGCCGCGCCACGACAAAACCAACATAATGGGTTTGCGACCAGCATGGATCCAGACCAGCCTGCGCATCCGCACAGTCTGATCAGGATCCATGCTGTTCGCTTACCAACTCTATTACAAGTAGAGAAACTGATAGCGAACAGCATGGATCCTGATCAGACTGCGCGGATGTGCAGGCTGGTCTGGATCCATGCTAGTCGCAAACCCACTATGTTGGTTTTGTCATGACGCGGCTCATTTCTTTTTCTTATTATAAATACCCCCTTTGCCTGAAATAAGCTGCCTTTGGAGTCATTAAAGTCTCCTTTGGTTCAAATATCCTGCCTTTTGGGACATTATGTTTTTTTTCATGCAAGATTATTTTAGGTAAGATTATAAGTGGATAAGAAAAAGTTGACATCTTCTATTGATTTTATTTTCATGAATACAAAATTTAATATTATTGTGTCAGTCTGAAAAGAAATTGATTTTAATATTACGTATATATATATATCTGTATTGGGTTGGGAACTTGCAAGGGTCCTGTATCTCCCCCACTTGTTGCTTCTATCCAGCTTAAAGTTTGATAAATGGCCATCTTATGGTGAGTGGTGTTGGTTGTTTTGCCTCCAGATCATGGCAGTAATCCACATTGAAAAATTATATTTATTGATACTTTTTAGCTCTTTTACTTGAAAAACCATTTCCTAAGAGGAAAATTAGATCTACTTGAAGTTATTCAATAAAGGTTTAGATTCTACATTCTGGTTCCCCCATCCCTCACTGTAACCCAGTCATGCTGTGATTATGTTTTACTATTTACATACAGGAGATGTTCAATTAGGGATAAAATATATATACATGATATATACCTGAAAAAAACTACAGAAATTTACCTGAAAGAAAGGGGGATTAACTAGAAAAGTGTTAAATCTGTACATAAATTTTTAATGCTTATAATAATCAAATTGATAACTAAAGTAGCAATATGTTTTAAAAGCAAATGATATAGAAATAGTTTTTTAATATTTATTTGACATTTCAGTTGACAGAGTTAAAGCCCTTGTGTCGTGGAGGCATACCAGATAGATTTCGTAAACAGATGTGGCGTCAACTTGTACAATACAGGATTAGAATAATGTTAAAGGACAAGGGAGACCACTATTACAGGAATATTTGTAACATGCTTCCAGAGTCGCCTGTAAGTTGCACATAACTAACTTTAAGATCCTGTCAAACTTTTTATGTTTTTATATCATAAATATGATGCTCAAATGAAGATTTATCAATATTGTAAGTTCCAAAAGCATTATTTATAAAGATATTACCAAAATCATATTTCATGTACATAAAGGGAGATAATCAAAAGTCAATTTTCTATAAAGTCTAAGAAAGAAATGAATATTTATACATGACTACTTAAATGATTACATATAATGGAAATAAAATGAAAAGCGTTTAAACACTTTTCACTCAAATCCGGCTAAGAAAAGCATAAAAATATGATTTTCAATTTATTTCAAAGTATATTTCTTAACTATCTTTGCATATATTTCTGTTTACAGTGCCCCAGCTCATTTATGTAAGAAATTCAAATGTTATGTTTTTAGGCTTTTTTAAACCTCAATGGAGTCCCTTTAACTGTATAAGCCTTATTTTTAGCTCGACTTTTCTATGAAAAGGGGAGCTATCCTATTCGCCCCGGCGTCGGCGTCGGCGTTAGCGTTGGCGTCACACCTTGGTTAAGTTTTTCGTACCACCCCACTTTATTTCAGAAGTATTACAAGTATGGCTTTGAAACTTACCATACTTGTTCACCATCATAACCTCCATCTACAGACAAGAGTACATAAACTCTGTCAAGGTTTTTGACAGAATTATGGCCCTTTTTTGACTTAGAAAGTGTATTGAGCTTGGTTAAGTTTTTTGTACACCTCACTTTATTTCAAAACCATTGGAGGTATTGCTTTGAAACTGACCATACTTGTTTACCATCACGACCTTCATCAACAGACAAGAGGACATAAACTCTGTCAAGGTTTTTGACAGAATTATGCCCCTTTTGACTTAGAAAATACATTGAATATGGGTAAAATCCACTTATTGCCTTAACCCTTTGAGATATTGCTTTGAAACTTTTAATGCTATTTTCACATCATTACCCCCATCTGTACGCAAGAGAAGGTAACTCTGTCAAGGATTTGTTTTTAAAAATTAAGGCCTTTTATCGACTTAGAATCTTGGTTAAGTTTTTAGTACCAGTCCCACTTTTTGACTGAACTGTTTGAGATATTAATTTGAAAGTTGGAATACTTGTTTACAATCATGATTCCCAAACATGTCCAGGAGAAGGTAATTCTGTCAAAGATTTTATTTGAATTATGGCCCTTAACTGTCAATGTTTTGTATTATAGGCAAGCACTAAAAAACTTAAAAAATCTAAAAAAATTCATTCCTATCCACTTGTTCACTTTACCATAAATTATGTCATATAAACATTGCTGTAATATTCAAGGGTATCAAACAACTAGTTCACTTTAAAAATACAGAGATTCTTGTATTGCCTTTTACTGCAAAAACTTTTTTTATTGGCAAGCAATAAAAAAGTCGAGCGCGCTGTCTTACGGACAGCTCTTGTTTTTACAGCACTTTGAATAAAAAGCTGTAAGTAAAATGTCCTTTAATTTGAAACGGTATTAAATTATAAATGTAAGGAATGTAGTGGAATAAATAACATTATCACATACCCGTGCCGCTTTTGCGACTATGTAAAAATGGTATTGCACTGTGCATATATTATGATGTGACATCATGTGCTTAGTAAAGATGCACTAAATTTAAGCGTTACACTATATGCATGTCAATAAAAAATTATTCTTTTTCACTAATTTATTTTGGGTATGTGATAAATAGAATATCATATTCCTGTAGCTTCATTACTGAATTTATTGAAGTCATTGAATAAAATAATATTGAGCTCGCTAGATGCTCGTATAATATAATTATATTCAACTCATTCAATAAACTCTGTATTGAACCTTAGTTATCAATGATTTAATATCCTCTATTTCTAAGAAAACCGGTTAACTTTGATTAAAGCTGCTACAATCACCTTCTAATCTTCAGTGTAACAAATTTGTTGATAAAACAAACAAATATTTTATACAGACAGTGATGTATGTAAAGAGTGAGGTTATTCTATAAATAAACACTTTTTTATGTACAGTTTTGATAAGATAAAAATATGGGAAGTAATATAATTCTGTTTCTGGTGATACCCAGATGTTCCAGTTGTCTGAATCAGGTGCATGTGTATTGACTGCCATGATTATATAACAGCTTATTTTGATCATATTAGTTATAATTCAATTTTTTTTTTATAAAAAAATAACATTTTCTTTTCTATAGCCTTTGAGCCAAATGTATTGACTGTTATGGGTAACCAGTTCCTTAATAATGGCCAATAAAACTTCTTTGATGTTAATCATGTTACATGTATATGGAAATGGCCAATTAAAACTTTTTATTCACCATTGATCTTCCATCCATTAAAGTACCTAATAAAACATTTAAATGCTATTTATGATTACTATGATGATGCATAAAAATTGACAAAAAACTTACTATTAAACATGTTACATGGAAATTAAATTAGCCACATAAAACTTGCTTTTAAGCACATTCCATGGAAATGGCCATATAAAACTTGCTTTCAAGCACATTCCATGGAAATGGCCATATAAAACTTGCTTTCAAGCACATTCCATGGAAATGGCCATATAAAACTTGCTTTTAAGCACATTCCATGGAAATGGCCATATAAAACTTGCTTTCAAGCACATTCCATGGAAATGGCCATATAAAACTTGCTTTCAAGCACATTCCATGGAAATGGCCATATAAAACTTGCTTTCAAGCACATTCCATGGAAATGGCCATATAAAACTTACTTTCAAGCACATTCCATGGAAATGGCCATATAAAACTTGCTTTCAAGCACATTCCATGGAAATGGCTAAATAAAACTTTCTATATTGAAATGGCCAAATAAAACTTGCTATAAACCAAGTGCCATGGAAATGGCCAAATAAAACTAGCTATTAATCATGTTCAATAAAACTCCCTTAATACCATGTTCCATGAAAATGGCCAGTATTATCTTGCTTATTTACCACATACATGCCCCTTTAGTGATGAATTTCCATGGATCAACATCTTGAAAAAGAAAAGTGTAATGTGTGCAAATATTATTTCAGCTGGCAGCATGTTATAGAAAGCAAGTGTCCCTAGATTTAATGAGAACTATGCCGTCTAATATAAAGTTTTCAACACAAGGCAGCAAAGGGGTAAGATTTTTTCTACACTTCTAGTTATGTGCATACATTATCTTTATACATGTAATTATACCCCCAAAAACAAAGTTTGGGGGGGTATATAGGAGTCACCCGTCGGTCGGTCGTTCGGTCCAGCGGTCCGTTGCATTTTCCTTGTCCGGAGCATAACTTGAAGACTAATATTTGGAATTCAATATAACTTCATACAATGGTCAAGCACATTGAGAGGAAGTGCAGTGCACAAGAACCATAACTCCATCTTGACTAATTACAGAGTTATTGCCCTTTGTTACTTTTCCTTGTCCGGAGCATAACTTGAAAACTACTGGTTGAAACTCGAAACAACTTCATACAATTGTCAAGCACAATAAGGGGAAGTGCAGTGCACAAGAACCATAACTCTATCTAAGGTAATTACAGAGTTATTGCCCTTTGTTATTTTTCCATTGCTTTCTTTTGTCCGGACTATAACTTGAAGACTAATATTTGGAATTCAATATAACTTCATACAATGGTCAAACACATTGAGAGGAAGTGCAGTGCATAAGAACCATAACTCCATTTTGACTAATTACAGAGTTACTGCCCTTTGTTACATTTCCTTGTCCATAGCATAACTTGATAACTACTGGTTGGAATTCAAAACAACTTCATACAATGGCCAAGCACAATAAGGGGAAGTGCCATGCACAAGAACCATAACTCCATTTTGACTAATTACAGAGTTATTGCCCTTTGTTACTTTTCCTTGTACGGGCATAACTTGAAAACTACTGGTTGAAACTTGAAAACTACTGGTTGAAACTCGAAACAACTTCATACAATTGTCAAGCACAATAAGGGGTAGTGCAGTGCACAAGAACCATAACTCTATCTAAAGTAATTACAGAGTTATTGCCCTTTGTTATTTTTCCATTGCTTTCTTTTGTCCGGACTATAACTTGAAGACTAAAAGTTGGAATTCAATATAACTTCATACAATGGTCAAGCACATTGAGAGGAAGTGCAGTGCACAAGAACCATAACTCCATCTTGACTAATTACAGAGTTATTGCCCTTTGTTACTTTTCCTTGTCCAGAGCATAACTTGAAAACTATTGTTTGGAATTCAATACAACTTCATACAGTTGTCAAGGACATTAAAAGGAAGTGCATTGCACAAGAACCATAACTCCATTTTGACAAAATAAAGAGTTACTGCCCTTTGATACTTTTCCTTGTCCGGAGCATAACTTAAAATGTACTGGTTGGAATTCAAAACAACTTCATACAATGGTCAAGCACAATAAGAGGAAGTGCAGTGCACAAGAACAATAACTTCTTCTTCCGTATTTATAGAGTTATTGCCCTTTGTTCCTTTTCCTTGTCTTTCTGGACTTATTACAATTCAATAAAACTTCATCAATGGCCAACCACATTGAAAGGAAATGCAACATACAAGAACCACAACTATCTTTAATTGCCCACAACCATAACTCTATATTTCAATTCTTTTACAAAGTATTCTGTTACTAGTAACATCCTCATTTCCGAAGCAGTCTTGTGGGGGTATTAATCACATTTAGTGATAGTTCTAGTTATCCATGGTTAGAGCTTACTAAGAATGATTAGGTTTATATATGGTGTTATTTACATTAAACATTTTTTTTTATACACAACAACGCAGTCTAGGAAAGTTAAATATTGTAATATCATTTGGGCTTGAACCCATTATGGCTTTGTTTTCCTAATTTACACAGGTAGCTAAATTATTTCTATTCCTATAATTGTAAACAGTCAATGAAGCCTGGTACTAGCTGACTGAGTTACATCTTATTTAATGTATCAATCAATCAATCATTCAATCAATCAATCAATATTTTAGATTATGGATTTACAAGATGTTTTACTGGCATGAATCAATCAATCAATTAATTAATTAATTTATTTATTTATTTATTTATTTATTATTTTAGATAATGGATTCTGTGTACATAATCCAACCATCGGATCAATCAATCAATCAATCAATCAATTAATCAATCAATTTATATTTTATTATTTTAGATAATGGATTTACAAGATGTCTTACTGGCATTCTGTGTATATAATCCAACAATCGGATTAATCAATCAATCAATCAATTAATTAATCAATTAATTAATCAATCAATCAATATTTTATTATTTTAGATAATGGATTTACAAGATGTATTACTGGCATTCTGTGTACACAATCCAACCATCGGTTACTGTCAGGGTATGAACTTCATAGTTGGTATGTCCCTCATCTTTATGGAACCAGAGGATGCTTTCTGGTAAGTGAATCAATCAATCAATTAATTAATTAATTAATTAATTAATCAATCAACCAGTCAGTCAGTCAGTCAAGAAAGCAGTCAATCAATCAATCAAGCAAGCAAGCAATCAGTCAGTTTTATTCCTTATGGAAACTTTATGAGACTGTAATGGGCTTTCTGATGAGTTAATTGATTAATTAATCAATTAAACTGTAATAAAATATCAGTTTAACAGTAATCTTAATGAAATTTAGGGGATGATTTCTTGTTATTATTTAATCAAGTGACAAATAATCAATTATTCAATAATCAGTATTTCAAAATCTTTATGGAATTTTTAACAAGTCCTAATCAAACATTTAATCAATCCATCAATCAAACAATCAATCAATCAGTGAGTCATTAATTTAATCAATTATCTTATTTATCATGCATTGATTTTAATTAAACAAATATATTTTCTGGATGCAGCAAGATTTGTTCTCTGCTGTTATAGCATCTTCATAATTATAACCATAATAAAACATTTTGAAGACTTTCTATGATAATTTCAGGACATTGGTTGCCATTGCAGAGAGCTACTTCTCTCCACACTACTTTGATCACAGTCTGATCGGGGCCCAGTCTGATCAGCAAGTCCTTAAAGACATGGTGAAAGACAAATTACCTGCCCTTTACCATCATTTAGAGGGAATTGATATAGAGTTGTCCACCATTACACTTAACTGGTTCCTTGCTGTGTTCTTTGATGCTGTCCCATTTCAGGTGAGTCGTCTCCCTTAGATAAGTTACCTTACTGAAGAAGAATTCTTACAGAGTTGTCTCCCATTACACTTAACTGGTTCCTTCCTAGCTGTGTTCTTTGATGCTGTCCCATTTCAGGTGAGTAGCCTCCCTTAGAAAAGTTACTTTACTGAAGAAGAATTCTTACAGAGTTGTCTACCATTACTCACAACTGGTTCCTAGCTATTTTTATTTCAGGTGAGTAGTCTCCCTTAGATAAGTTACTTTACCAAAGAATAATTCATACAGAGTTGTCTACCATTACACTCAACTGGCTCCTAGCTATTTTCATTTCAGATGTGTTGTCTCTCTTGAATATGGTAACTATTTTAGTAATAATTAACCCCCATTACACTACCTACAGATTATGTTTGAATTAAAGAACATTAAAAAGAGATTCAGGTTAAATGACTATGTTTGGCTTCATTGGAATTGTATAATCTGCCAGTCTTACTGGGCTTATGAGTACTTTTAGAATTTCGAATATAAAGTAAGAGTATAGTTGGTACATAGATTCTATGAAGAATGCCTAGCAAGGTTTAGACATTCAGCTTGCTAGCAGCATACTTTATAAGTGGTTAAGTTGGCGACACAGAAATATTGGCCAATTTCCTGAATTGATGAAAATCGCGAAAATTTCCTCTAGCAGAAATATTAACCAACCTGTCATTAAATTCTACCCTTGCATGATTCCCTAATATTTCATCACACAAAATGTGTGGAATTTTAAATTCGCCAATTTTTTGACACACATAAATCTTTTCTTATACAGTATTATGTCACCAATGTGTCAGGTATAGACAAAGTTCAGCCAGCATATCCGGGTTGAAAGATGGGACAAGTCTGCTCAAAATATTTTGGGTAGTAAGGATTAAAATTTCCTTGTATCAATCAGACAGTAGTTTTTCTAACTAATCATTTTGTTCTTTCACCAGGGGTTATTCATATTTAATGTACAAAATAAATACTTTCACATGTCCGAAATTTTTTTATGGACAATGTAACTATATATTTCTAAATACAGAATAAGTAACCTGAACTTCCTATTTGTCTACTTTCTGTTGATAATGTGATTCTATGAGATTAGTGGAAGGTTTCAAACAAATTGTGATTGATATGTCTGATCCAGATGGAGATAAAATTCACATCATGACACAAGTTAGCTTACAGTAAAACACATTACCTTACAACATCTCTGTGATTGATGGACCGAGTTTAAAGTTATTTTAACATAGATGCCAGATTTCTATCAATAGAACTTTAATCATATCACAATCAACATAGATGGGCAGATGATGTAAAAAAAACAACATAAATATATTATGGAGGATATTTGTTTAGTTCAGTGTAAGATCACAATATAATTATTTCACCGAATGAGCAACATATGGTATATTTCATGAGCGGCGCAACCACGAGTGAAATATAGACTTTAGGTGTTCACGAGGTGAAATCACGGGGGGGGAATCACGTGACTTTGTATAGTAATACCCACGAGAAAATGGCTACTGCTGAGCCCCGGTAAGTACCTTATTATGTTAAATTAAGGTGACAAACGTTTCTTAAATCGAAACAAATCCAAGCGTATCATATGCACGTTAATTTTCTTCAAATGATAATACAAAGTGCATTATCCTACGTTTTCTGGTTTTTGAGAACATTGTTTGAATTGTGTGAAAATTGCACATTCAGCGATAGTAATTCGCACGAAGCGATATAATTTGGTACCAAAATAAATGAAAATAAACTTACTTTCTGCACTTAGGACACAAAATCAATCATTTTATTGACATCTGTTATCGTAGAAGTTCATATAAGATATATTTTCGAAGGTCTGTAGCCTACAAATGTTCTTTGCAAATGTATAGTAAGTAAAACGAACACTTTCTGGATAGTAAGTTACACGAAAACAAAATAGTAAGTTTCACGCACAGTTTCCATTAGCATACATATACATTAAAAGAAAGTTTAAGTTCATATGTTAAGAGAAAGAAAATACTTATTTCAATTATTCAAGAACAAATATTTCACTTTTTTGTCTATAGGACGAATGCTTAATTGGTTGTTATTATAATATATCAAAAGAACTTTTGATGGGATTTGATATTACACGGCTCAGTGTTATTTTTCTGTGCAGTTTCAGGTGTGTCTTGGCCCTCATTTTACTGTAATGAACAAATATAATTGCTTGTTAATTGGTATGGTGATGTTTATTAACTGAATGCTGATCAATGTTTTTATATGGCGGTATTTGTTACATTTAGTCACTATGTTACTTAATTTATGAAAATATATTGAAGAATTCGCAAGAACAAAATTATAAACTTCTTACAAAAAATAAACAACAACAACAATGATACAGTGATACAAGTTATGATAAATGGCACATTGTTCCTCGGAAATCCATATTGTTTTAATTATTAACAAATGTCAAACATGTGTTTGATAATGTTTAAATAATGGATAAAACGTATGATAGTATTTTATTACAACTGAAAAAGGTAGCACTGAACATTATATTAAGTGATGTGTCGCTAAGGTAGCAAAATGTAAACAAAGTAGTATTTTGACTTCCATACGAAATACTTATTCACTAAAGGTATACCAATCGCCAACAGAACCAAAGATGTAAAAGATAGTTTGAGTATCTAGCAAATGAGTATGTTTTTGGAAACTGTAGCAAGATACCAAAAATAAACAGTTTTTTTTTAAATAAAAATGATAGCATTTAAGAGGCATAATGGACCTTCAAAGAAAAACGAATATTTGAAATCAAACGGTCAAAGAAATGAAGGCAAGTAGAGTAAAAAAAATATTTACATAAAACAATCTTAGATGCTGGGTTTCAAATCACACCGTCAATTTCGGGACACCTGAGTTAAAGCACCGGACGTTTTGTTAATCCTAGTTTGATGAAAGAATTCAAGGACTCTGGTCGGACTAGAATCCATAGCGGTGAGAAGCATGTATATAAAATCAGGGACTTTAAACAATCGGCCATGACGCCACTGAATATCTTATTTACTTACTCTATCACAAACAAAAGTAAGAGTTTACGACGCAACACATTTGCACATTGGTAAGAAAATAAACGTATAGTAATACATAAACATTTTAACAAAACTTCCCTTGGTTTATTTATAAATCTGCCAGTGTATAAAAGAATAAAATTTAATAAAAACTTTGATACCAGTTCTATGATGGCATTAAATATCATGTGAAATTGGCGAAAAGTCTTTCTCCTTTGTGTTTTTGGTCCAAATTGCAGATACTGAAAAATAAATAATGGTGTTGTAATATTTCCTTTTTGCCCACAGTTTATTTCTTTATAAAATCTAGTTCTAAAGATAAAGGATTTGTGGTCCAGTCTAACGTGAAAAAGGGCCAAGTGTAACGTACATTGTGAGTATCAATGTCAATTCTCTTTTAGTTTATTTAAGTTTAAGTAATATTTTATGAATTTATATGAATATGAATACATGTATTATGAAATAATATGAATTATTATTAAAATACTCTCTCGATAATTGTTTCTCTTCAACCGTAGACGGAACCACACTTGCAAATTTGAAACCAAAAGAATTATAAAAATAGTTTCGTCACATTTAAGTAAGCTATTGGAAACTGTGCGTGGAACTTACTATTTTGTTTTCGTGTAACTTTACTATCCAGAAATTGTTCGTTTTACTTACTAAACACTTGCAAAGGAGCATTTGTAGGCTACAGACCTTCCAACAAAATTTTATATGGAATTCTTACAAGAAACAGATGTCAATAAAATGATTGATTTGGTGTCTTAAGTGCAAAAAGAAGGCTTATTTTCATTTATTTTGGTACCAAGTTATCATCGCTTGCGTGCAAATACTATCGTCTGAATGTGCAATTTTCACACAATTCAAACAATGTTTTCAAAAACCAGAAAACTTAGGATAATGCACTTTGTATTGTCATTTGAAAAAAGTTAACGCGCATATGATACGCTAGGTTTTGTTTTGATTTAAGAAACGTTTGTCACCTTAATTTAACATAATAAGGTACTTACCGGGGCTCAGCAGTCGCCATTTTCTCGTGGGTATTACTATACAAAGTCATGTGATTCCCCCCCGTGAAATATATATTGATCTTACACTAAACTAAACAAATTTTCTTTAATTTATATGTAAAGAAACATTTAAAAGACATTTTAACCTATACTTAATGAAATACTGGCCAGATAATAATACAACATGACGATATTTACGACATCACATCATTAAGTTGGTTTCCAGTACTGTGCACACTAATATATCACTGAAACAACGTAACAGGTTTTAATTTAAAAAAAAAAACAGTGAAAAATATCAAATTGATATTTTAACTGTTTCAAACAGTGAAATGTCAGTTTTATATTTCACTGATATATTTCTATTAACCACCGAAAAGCATGTAATAAATTTCAGGTATTTAAAGGTGTTGACCTTTGACCTTTATCAAATAGAGAAAATAAGAATCCCAAAAGAAAGCCTAACACAGCAAAATTAAAAATGTTGCAGGCTAAAACCATACAATTAGAAATCCTGTTTTATGTATTTGATGCCCGTCTTACATTACAGCTGTTTAGATAATGATCAGATGATGTAAGTCTATATTGATTAAAGCAGCAGCCTCCAGATTCATGCTAATTTTCATGAAAATTTAAAAAAATGTATTTGAATGTGTAATATTGTAAAGTAACCATAAGGAAGCAATTTACACAGTCATTATCAATGACACTTACATACCACTTAAATTACCAAAAAGTGGTCAAAATAAGCATAAATAGCCTTTACTTCATTAGTATGGCAGTTAATATAGTTGTAAATACTGAAAAATCAGTCATAAATCGCACATAATATGTAAAATATTACTTGAATCTTGACACTTTTTACTTTTCCTTACATCATAGTTCATTTTTCTCAAGTTTGATTTTATTGAAATATTTTTACTCATCTTGAGGCATGTAG